TTCACTGAATAGGTGCAAACTCGGGTGTTGGGTTTGCGATAGCCAAAGAGCTGGCTGGTGCTGAAGAGAACTTTCGCCTTATTCTTGCTGGCCGATCTCTCAACAAGATAGAGTCTGCTATCTTAGAGATAAAGGCGTCGCGTGATCACGACGTCGATTTGACAGGTCTGTGCCTGGATGTTACAATAGAAAGCTCAATTCAGAAGGCGTCTGCTTTTGTGAAAGACAACTTTGGACACCTGGATATCCTCATCAACAATGCTGGTGTCCAGCCCGAGGGCCCAAGTCTAGCGACAATACTCCATTCGACATTTGCTACGAATGTGATTGGTCCGGCTCTTATGTCAGCCAACTTTCGATCTTTACTTCTGGCCTCACCAGCTCCATACTCGATATACATCAGCAGCGAGACAGGGTCACTTCAGATGATCACTGACCCCACGTCATATCTGCGCATTACAACTGCCGGCACGAGTGCGTATCGGGCAAGTAAATCAGCTCTCAACATGATTGCAATGCATGAACAACTTGAAGTACAAGAAACTAGTTTGAAAGTTATTGTATTGTCACCAGGTCTCGTAGTCTCCAATTTGCGAGGCACCAGTGAAGAGGCTCGCTCAGCTTTCGGTCTTGCTGGTGATCCCACTGACTCAGCTCGCCTTGTGCTTAGCGTTCTACGAGGCGAGAGAGACAACGATGCTGGGAAACTAATCACCAACAGTGGGACGGCACCCTGGTAGGGGTGACATGGTTATTTAACCTCATTAAAGCCAAGAGCTTTGAGTGGCGAAGGCAAGGGAATAATGGAAACAAAGACACTTTCGTGGGGTGTTCATAATCGAACGAACACAAATTGGACTCTTTTGGTTCGATTTGGACCAATTTTCTCTGGGTTTCAGAATCGACAGCTATATCTCATTGGCATTCTGCTGGTGAGAGAAATGTTTTGCGATAGTTCCATACGGAATTATAGAATGTTATCACGACATCTTAGGCCCTGAAGCTGTTCTCCACCAACTTGTAAAAACTGCTCCAAGCCGGTGTTGCCATAAAGTCCCTGCTTGGAAACTTGCGTGAAGCGCCGCAGCCATACATCCGTCCGGTGCGGATCTAGTCGACTGGCGTTATTCTGTTTTTATTACAATATGTTCAGTCTAGAATTCTTTGAAAGCCCGTATGAAACATCTACAGTGCTCTTGTATGACGCCTACAGCTGATGGAACTTCATGAATCTTGGCTTTACCTATGAAACACGCCAAGCTTATTCTCCGCTGGCCATTCTACGGACGGGCTTTCCTGTAGACTGCATTGCTTGAAAAAGTCTGGGCTTTTTGAAAATCTTCGCAAAGCCTCCTCCCATTTGTGGACTTGACGCTCTAAATACTACTCAATATTTCATCACGCCTCACACTAGTGAATCTGGCTGTCCTCAAACCCAGTCTTGCACCTTGCGATTTGTATGTAACGCTGCAACGCCCGCGTCTCTCCCTTTCCCCAAAGTCTTTGTATAGACTTGTCTCTCCTCGTACACCTTGACATCATCTTCTACGTAGAGCTTGCCTTGCCTCTCCGCCTTGATTCTATTGAGACGTATACGTCTTACGTCCCATTCCAGATTATACGTGAGATACCAGCACAAGCAGCAGCCGAAGAAGCCAGTCGCAATTGTTGCGGTGCAGACAGAGTATGGGACCTTGTAACCATTGGACGCGTACTTCGAGCGGAAAATTTGAGGACCAATTACTCCTCCTAACTGACCGATCCCACTTTGAAGACCAAATGCAAAAGCAGTTCCAGTGGAGCCTTTCAGACTTGAGGTTCGCCCTGGAGAACCATGAGCGGGGCCTTTGTTTCCTAAAATGACACATCGACTTACATGACCAAAAGGGGATTGCGAAAGCAGCTGAGAACAAGGTGCCTAAAATGCATGCCGCGTAGATCGCACCACGCTTTCGAGTAGCAATGAAAATGGCAAAAATTGCCACTTCCAGCACAACGACTAACAAAATATGTTAGAGAGTGGAGATAAACCCATTTTGGGGAGAAAGCATTACTGATGAGACAGAAAAGCGGTCGTGGTATCCATGCTTTCTTGAGAACATACGCCGCGGTAATAATAGCCAGAATAGCGGCAGCGGCAGATGGCTATATAACGTAAGTGTTGATCGATGACATTTACACACCTGACGTACTATAATGAGCAGTATGTTTCGTGGCAACCCCACGAAACCGAGATTGGTAATGATTGTTGGCTATGATGGGCAATGAGATTCCTGTGTTATTACAAGCTAATATTAGTGAACTCACAAGAAACCAACTCAAGCCAAACCCTCCAGTGTTCATCAAGACTTGTGTCAGCATGAACGACCAAGTTCGTGGATCTTTGAAAGTTTCCCACGATTCCTTCGATGAGAACGCAACATCTGATGTGACAGGAGCATTCTCCATGAGTCGCAGCTCGACGAATTCTTGCTCTCTTGCCGTAAGCCATTTTCCAGTTCGCCCAGAGCGAGGATAGTCTGGATATAGCACGTATACAATCCATTACTGCCATTAGTGTTATTGCACCTAGATTGAATACCATCTTGGTGTCAAGCCTGTCACGACCGACGTTGGTCATTAGCGTCATTGAAGCCAACTACGCCTTCATCGTTCCCGAGCACCAATTTTATTGTGAACTTAGCTATCACTGAGATATTTGACCTCATTCTGTATTCACATAGTTGGCGACCCTCTAGGATATCATAATGACTCTCAGCATCGCAATTATTGGCGGGGGTGTTGGTGGTCTCACAGCTGCTATTGCACTAAGACAGCACCCGAGTGTTCAAGTTCAAGTCTATGAGAGAACAACTGCATTTCGCGAGCTTGGTGCTGTCGTCGGACTTGCACCCAATGGTCTGCGTACCTTGGAGAAGTTGGGCGTCGACGATGTACTCAGTGATGAGGTTGGTTGGCGCAACCCTAGTGGCGTTCCGATGATATTTAGGTCTGTCTCGCTTCAATTATGTTCGATTATCCCTTGTTATAGGTAGAACTGATCGCTCACAATTGGTTTAGACACTATCGGACAAATGAGATTCTGAGTCAGGATGTGAATCACTATGTTCCTGATCGGCGACATCACTTCGCGAGAATGCAACGGGCCAAGTTACAGCAGGCTTTGCTGAAACATTTGCCTTCAGAAATATTACACCTTGGAAAGAAAGCAGAATCAGTCAATGTAGGTGAAGCTGGTGTGACCGTTACGTTCGAGGACAAGACCTCCGTGAAAGCTGACATTGTAATCGGAGCGGATGGAATTAAATCGGTCTGTAATCCTACAACAGTTATGATGAGTACTGGTAGCTAATAGTATAATTCTACATCGCAGAAAACCCGAAGCGCCTTTATTCCCAACCATCAACTCATTGGTTCAGGAGACGCAATATTTCGCACAACGTTTCCCAATGACTTAGTAGCTGATGTAGAAGGCTTGCAACAGGATTCCACTCATTACGTAAGTTGACTGAAGATAGGATGTTGGACTTTATTGATTGTATTAATAGCAAAGTCCGAATTCTTGGTTCTTTGGTACTCGAACGGGTACGTTGGTCAGAAGGTTTGACATTAAGGGTCAAGGCTCTATACGCTGACCCTCTAACTCCATTCAGGTTCTGATGGATTTGCCGTCACATGTAGCTTCAGCGTTGACCAGTCGGACCCTAATTCTAAATTTGGTGACATCGTCTGGAACGGCCCTGCCGAAGTAGATGATATACGCGAGGTATTTGAGGTGAGCATCCCGATTTACCCAACCATCTCCCATCTACTAATTTTCGTGTTAAGGACTTTCCACCCGTCATATCGTCTATCATTAGCAGAATACCTGAGGGGTCTCTCAGGAGATACGCCAATGTTGCGGGGGCTGCTCTTGACCAGTGGACATTCCAAGACCGTGTGACGCTCCTGGGAGATGCGGCACACACTCACGGCGGCGCATATGCTGCCGGAGCCTCGCTTGCCATCGACGATGCCTACGCACTGTATCTTTCCATACGAGCCGTCTTTGCAGAAGCACTGCCTATCGATGAGCCAGTGCCACGAAACAAGATCCGTCGCGCTCTCCATCTCTACGAAGCCACTCGTAGGCCGCACGCCGCCAGAGTCCTCGAAAGCGTGCATGATGGCCGACAAAAGCAACTTGCTCGTTTGGAGGTAGCCAAAAACTCTGGTAAGCCAGAGAGTGACGAAGACTTCTCAGGAAGGATACGAGGAAGAGGCGACCCTGTGTGGCTGAATGAACATGATGTTGAAGCTACGTTCCGGAAGACTCTCCTGGAGAACAGCGCAACGAAGATTACTAATGGTTTCCATTAGAGGTAGCTATGTTCTCACGTTAGTTAACTTGAATCGACAAAGGTTTCACATCATCCTGATAGGGGATTCAAGTATCCTTAGTCCTAATCTTCAAAGCGGTTCTAGCCCGTTGCCAATAGGAGACACTCCAGACATCAGTAGGAATTGTAACAAGAGCCTGGAAGCTGTCAGAACTGAGAATCCGCATATCATGAATGGATGATTCAAAGTGATCTTATTATAGGGTTATAGGGTATCTAATTTAGGTTCATAACTCTTTGATCGACACACGTCACTTTTGTGCCTCGACTTCCGGAGAAAGCGGTATCAGTCGAGCAGTTGTACGTGCCTAGCCCACAGCAGCAACACAACTATGCTGCACCTCGAGAAAGCCACATGCCATATTCGTTGACAATGAAGAGGATACAGCAGCTACACGCTGAAGCCTTACATGTAGTCCTTCACGACACAATTTCATTGAGCTTTCCCAGTTGGAAGACCAACCTTCAGAGTCAGAAGTAGTGAAGTCGTGGGAGCATGCTGTGGACAGCGCGCCATTGTCGATATATGAGTCCGCGCAATGATGAGGTTTCTAGTCGGCCAATTCATTAATCGTGAAATCATCCCGCCGTAACCGTAACCAGCACGGCTTGCTCAATAATCTATCGGGTCGGTATGAACTTCTTCGAGTCTGACTCCTGCTCGGCAAACGATTCAGGAAAGGCGGCAATGCCAGCAACGATGCCAGCGACCATGAACAATAGCGAGATGATGGACCACAACACTCCCCAGCACTGGGATGAGCCGCCGTATCTCTTGGCGAATACGCTGGCATCGGAACTATTCACTTTCCGCAGAATCAGGTCGTCACAGATATCCCAAACACTGTAGAGCGACGACATGACGCCAATAAACAGCTATCGAATCAAGTAAGCAGGTATTCTAAAACAAGGATGGGATCTCTGTCCTAGAGAGATGCTTACTATCACGAATCTCAGCGGCTCAGCATGGTCGATGAACCAGAAGGCAACGATGAGGCCGACAGCGAGGCCGATGGTCAGGATCGTGAGCCAATCTTTGCGGCCCCACCACAACGTCAGTAGAAAACAGACACCGACCACAATGCTGGCGATCTTGCTTGCGACAATATCGAAGCCACAGAAGGTGAGTAGAGCGCCGATCAAGGACGAGCCCAAGTAGCCTGCGGGCAGAGTAATGCCGCTCCTGCCGCCTCGCATGTGCGTGACGCCGCCCTCGTGCGGGTCGAGCGAGATAGACTCGACTTTACCGCCGGTCAGCTTGCAGGCGAAGGCATGGCCGAACTCGTGGAATGCAATAACCAGCATCTGCCGGGATGGTCAGCTCTGCCAAGCTCGTGGATCTCAGTAGTTGCGGGTCTCACCTTGAAGGGCCATAGGATATAGCGAACGTAAGGAATGTTCCATAGTAATGCAATGACTACGATATAGACGGCAATCATGCCCAGGGTGACTTTCTGGGCGTCAGAGGAGACGGAGAGGCCCCGGCGCATCAGTGCGGCATGTGCAGTGTGCTTAGCGATGTCCGGACCGGCCTCAACCAGCGCCCGCCGCGCGGCGCGCAGGGCGAGCGCGGTAGGCGAGCGCGGGATGTCAAGGCTGCGGAGAGCGTTTGCTGTTGTGGCTACAGGCACCATGGTGTTTTGATTTGCGAGCGACTGGACGAACGATGCGATGATGTTGAAGGGGAAAAGAGCCGCAAGGAACTGGCTGGTGTCTTCAAGATAAAATGCCGATTATCTTCCGCCAGCCTCCAGCAACGATTGGCGGTTCGTCAGCCCACCCGCGCGGCGTGCCCTGTGTGCGGCTGGGGCGCTGACGCGTATCACAATCTGCAATATGCTTGGAATGCTGGTGGTCCCCTTTTGGTGGTCCCCTTTTTTCGGACCTGAAACACGTCGCCCGTGGGTCCACAACGGCATTGTTGTGGCGATGGCTGTGGTGGCTTAGCTATGACTTAGCCGCTATTTTTAGCTGCCGGTCGTCTCTTCTCAATCGCGACTGCCGAGGGATTCTCTTCTTAACCTCCACACTCCACGACTGCACTCGTGTCGAATGGCGCTATTCATTTTCACTACTTACGACTCCTGCCCAGGAGGCCGTAATGGAATCATCACAATAGGCGATATTTCGATCAATGATACCGAGTCTGGATCAAACGGTTAAAGGCTTGATTCCCGATGATGCGGTTGAGCTGTCACCCCCTTCACGATACATCCGCGATATTGCAAGACTTGGTTATTACAACTCTATGGGGACATTACCTAGCTCTATTCATTCGGAAAATGGCCAATGCTGAACACATGGACATTGTCATCATACTAGTACCTTTCGTTTACGCGAATGAATGTATTGAACACATTCTCCTCCAGAGGCACTCGGCATATCTCTACTAATCTAAACCCGAAAGCTCACAAGGAATTTTCTTCTAATGTCGACATTTAAAAGAAACGCATGCCGACCCAATGTAACCAGCTGACCACGATTGGTTATCAGAAGGCTCTTCAGCTTGGCATGATTGTCAGGAAAGATACCATCCTCATGACCACACAGAATTATCACAACAGATGAGCTCATAGTTTCGCTAAACACCTGCGATTTGTGCAACCAATCATGCAACAGTGGTGTATCACTCGCCTGAATTCATGCCCAACCATATGCTATCATCCCCTAGGCCTTGAGTGAAGCTACCCGAAGCCACCTTCAGCAATTCATGCTTATGATGATCAAGACACCATATCCGAAGTTTGCGATGACTAGCCCAATGGAGATTGCAACGAACATGTGAAGCAAAGAACAAAACTAGGCTAGTACCTGCTCTGCGACCCTGATCTTGAGCAACGTGACACTATTGCTCTATCTAGATCTTTGACAAACCACTTGAGATTTAGTATGCTCGAAAGCTACCCATGGATTTAGAAAGCTCTCCGTTGCTCATAAAGTTAGATACCATCGAACAGGCCGTCAGGAGCGACTTCAAGGGAGTATCAGAGGTGCCGGAAGTTACGGCTTCGCTTTGTGTCCAGAAATGAACGCATCATGCGTGTAATGAAACTGTATGACATGAGTTGGGAAATGCAACCTAGGATGATTTCAACATCAACCCACGCGAACCAGCATACCAATGACGAGGTGATGATATATGAAAGCCGAGAAATGGAGAGCGTGGGAGGGCCAACAAGAAACTTCGTCCATCCTTCAGTATCACCAATGGCAAGACTGCTTACATATCCAATCGCACGAGCACACTAACGGACAGAGAACCAGAGTCCGACGGAAGTTTCAGTGTCGTCATGCTCACTCGACGGAATCGCGTAACCATAGGCACTCCCACGCTTGATGCCCACGCCTCATCCACGCTGGTGGTGGTAGGTTGAGGCCACATGCGAGGATGAATGTATGCACCCCGCGAAATAGAGAAGTATCAAGAACCAGTCGCTTCTAGGTCCGGGGTCTAAATCCCCACGTGCGGACGTGGGCGCGCGCCGTCGGCATGCCGTCGTCGATGGGTACCTACCTACCTAGCTGCAAAATCCGGACGCCAGGGCGCTTCAGAGATTTCACGCAATACCCGACGTGGCACCGTAGACGCTGCCCAAGAGCCAACGTTCAGCAAATCAATTCCCCAGTTTTCCATCGTCGCATCGCACGGTGCCGTTGAACGGCAGCGTCCGTTATGATCTCATCTTGCGTTGCGCAGCTCCCACTTTTTCCGAGTGGCAAACGCCTCACAGTTCGCAGCTTACACGGATCGGCACTCGTCTCACTCACAACCGAGCCGCCCGGATCGACTGATTGGCCTGCTTCCAACCTGAAAGATCTCGCTCGGCAACGATTTGGGAAGGGACAGCCAGTTTGAGCGAAAACCTCGCATCAAAATCTGCTCGAATTGGGTTGCTTCCCATCCCTCCATCGCCCCTTCGGCTTCGCTGGGTCAATAGGATAAGGCGGCCGGTTGTCGTAATAAAGCAGGAACATCTGCAAGTGGACATGTGCTGCTTTTCTACTCGTCCGATTTCGCTTCTGTTTTTCTCTCATTGATCAGGTGCCGTGGGGGAATTTTTCACTTCATCCATTGCGTCGTTGAAAGAACAACTTACGACTTTTGCACGGATTCAGGCTCGTTGGGTTTTGTTGGGAAGACAGCTTCGAAACAGTGAAGGCATTCTATTTAACCTACAATATCTCCCTTTAGCGAGATATCATTTGGTTTCTTTTCAACCATTTACATAATTCTTGCGTGATTTTATTAAAGCTGAAGAGACATCAATATGCGCAGCAGACGAGACAGTAACTCAGATGTACAAGACTGGTTAGATGGGCAGTATGAGTATGTCGGCCCCGAATACGAGACGGCACAAGAGGCAAAACCACCACAATTCTCCCGTCATGTCGAACCGCCGTCTACTAGCGGGATACATGGTCGCATTGGTCGTGACGGCTTCAGAGAGATGCCGCCTGAGGGATCGGACACCTCGTCAATAGGCAAAGTCCATCCTCGTGACCGCTATCGACCTCCGACTCCACCGCCAGATACATTTGATCAACCACGAAGGACACGTCGACGCGAAAGAGAATACGAGCGGGAGCGGCCCCGGCCTAGGGAGAGAGACATTGCTCGAGACGAGCGTCGTCCTTCACCACACCGCAGAGACACCAGGCATCCCCCACCAGCTAGGCACGGCCGGCCACTCGAGCGTCCTCACTTGGCAACAGCGACAACCGCGCCTCCAGTCAGCAAGAGGGAGGAGAGTCCCTACCGTCGGCGTCGCCATCACACACCATCACCTACTCGGCATCGGCCCTCTCGACATCATATGTCACCCCCTCCACCAACCTCGCACACACCAAGGCGAGGCAAGAGCACCAAGGAGCCCACACGACCACCGATAACCCGTAGCAAGACGACGAAGGACAAATCTATGGCTTTCATCGAGAACCCTCGTTTTCAGAAAGCTGCAGCGGCAGCGCTTGAGGCTGGGGCGACAACTGCCTTTGGCCTTCGCGGACAGAAAGGTCCTTGGGGTGGAGAGAAGGGCGCAAAGGTTGCAACTGCGGCACTTGGTGCAGCAGCTCTAGATGCACTGAGAAAGAACGAGGCGGCAAAGGCGAAGCCAGTAGCCGAACCACCTCCGGTTGCCAGCAAGAGTGCAGGGGGTGTTGAAATGTTTGGCAATGCCGTTGGTGGGTATCTCGCAGACCAGCTTGCGAGAAGACGAAGCCAGAGAAAGACTAAATAATGGATTTCAAGCATGAACTGTACAAAGATTTGCATGATAGCATGTACTTTAGCTTGAAGGATACAAGGGAGAATGATAGACTCGTCCTTCAGAAGGAACATCGTTGACTTCTTTCTAATATTTTTAAGGGAGAGGATATAGACCTGTAATCAATAGCATGTATTATTCGCACGACATGTCTAGACCACTAGATTACAAATACTGTGCTCTCATTGAATGATAGCATTTCGAATGATCCTGTCAATAGTCGTATCATATTATACTTTAGTGAGCTTAGAAAATACTGCTGTGTTGTCACAAGTCACATATTGAAGGCTCTGAATCGTGGAAGCAACCAAGTCATATGCTATCATACGTTCGAACTTGTCCGCGTGAAACTCGACCAGTACAGAACAGCAGACTACCACAACTCACTGGGTAGCTTGACCTTGCCCCACATACCTTTAAGTCACTCCCATGCAGACTTGGCGAGGTCGAACATGGCTACACCTCCCCGATAAATTGCATAAAACACGCAAAACCAACAAGCTACCACCATTATAGTCATGAGTAACTTCAACCGCCAGTCTCCACCTTCATGAGAGGCAGAAGTGGCACTTCCAATATACCCTACCTGCCGTCTTCGCGAAGAATAGAAGCCTGACCAATCATCGGATGTATGGCCTGAGCTGCCTCGGGGCAACATAGTTCCATACTGAGGCTGGGTAGGCGGCGCCGATATTGTGGTGCGGAAATTTGGCTGAGATCTGGGCTCAGTCGAATACACTCTCTGACCTGAAATAGCAGCATGGAGGTTTCTCGTAGCCGGGTGACGACTTGCAGCCACCGGGAGCGTAGATACTTGGTTATTCGTTGTTGGAAAGTGTCTTGTACTTGTTACAACCTGACTTGGTAGGTGGGTTCGAGTTCGGTGAGCTCCACGTTCGGCAGAAGATTCCAATCGATGGAGAACCGAGATTGATGCACCAAGACGGATATTACCGCAGTAGTTTAGCATGTCAACGTAAGATGCCCCCGATAAACGATAGTCTTGACCTTTTCCATTACAATCGCGTAAAATGTTCAAAGGAACTGTTCGGCGATTCCCTGTGTTGATATACGACGGCTTGTCCAGATTCCGGCAATGAGCAGCTACGCTAAGCAGAATCCCATTGTCAGGATGCCTTTTGCAAGGTTTGATTGGCAGGTACTGTTGTCTAATAAAACTGGCCTCGGGATAAGCCTCCTGTAGACTTCTTCCTCCAAAAGATGTCACCTAAATATGAGATCGTAATTAGAACGAGGGCCTGCATATTCAGGGTATTCGAATCACACTTACCAGAAATATCTCAACTATTCCATCATATGTTGCCTCATTCGACAAAATGACGACGGGGTGATCGTAGCAGCGCTGTGGCAACCCGCAAACTGTATTGTCCTTGGACAGTGGCGGCAGCCATTTGATACAACCATTTAACGCTACATTCGCTGGATCGAGAATGGGTGCTTCTGGATTCGAACGGTTCCTGTTGTCTGGGATCTTGATTCTAGGCATTTTGTAATAGCCACGAACAAAATGACATGAACGTGAATGGTATGATCAATGAAGTAAAATCAATTGGAAATAATCTGTGCTACTTATGAGGCCGAACAGGGTCTGACTTGCTAGGCAACCCGCTTGATTCTGCCCAAGGCCGCAAAATGGGCCAATGGTACGATGCGATAAACTCTCGTGCGTTAGTACTGGTGAAAGCCTCACCGCGATGGTGCAACCAACAAAAAGGAGTTTCAGGCAACCAATGACCGGTTGGGCAACCAGGCGGCTTACCACGAGCTACCGGCCCCTTTGACTCGTTATCCCGATGCAACCAGTACACAATCAAGTATTTGATGTCTCAGAGCCAATAATCTTCTAGAAAGAAATAGTAATACATATTTTCTGTATTTAACAATGATACTCCCTACAACGTTCCTGTCTCCGCACGCACGGCCTCCACATTTGACTGGTGCGCAGGTGGTCACATCCAAAACCAACTGAGCCGCCCGCGCTGATCTCCGAAAAGAGAAGGGAGGGGGTTTCCCAATCACCACCTCTGACCCAAGGCATTATTGGTCAATGGTCGTGTAGGCTCTGCTTTGGCTGATAGCGATCAGCGAACAAGCGAACCCCAATGTGCAACCGCTTAATCGAACTTAAATAAAGAAACGCCCCGTCACGAGATTATTTACCACCCAAGAAGACAAAATTGAATAATGAACCTTCTAGGTTATTGTGTCTAGTGTTTTTATAGCTGTACAATGATTTTCAAATAAATTGTGCGCGTGATGCTAGGTTGGAGACGGATTTCGGAAAACAATTGTGTGGTACCGATTACCCTGACAGGAAAGACAACAGGTACCTATCTAGTCCCACTATGTATACGACTAATGAAACTCTCATGGGTTACGGATGTGGTCGGAGACACTTTGGTTCAATTAGGGTGATAAGAGGACTTAAACTATGAGGAAGAAGGATAAAAGCTGTGAAGACTACAAAGCCTTGCCTATGATTATTATACCATGATTCAACCAACAATGTAGTAACAATGGCTCATTGCCTTCAGTGTTGCATCATTGTTATCTATCAGCGGTTCAATGCACACTGCCAAGTAGTAACACGAAGATGCGCAGGAGATATCCAATGTACTCGTTCTTATGTACAATGAATTAAGGTTTCTTATGAATGAACAATTTAGTGGTACCAGCATATACCGGCTTCAGCCAGCTTGATATAGTGCCAGCGCATATACGTGCGGGTTGACCATACTTAAATTGAACGGCGTGACATAAAGATCCAAATCTGTGACCGCCAAAAACATGGTGCCGTTAATGGCCGGGTCCCCTTCATAGGTCGAAACGTTGGGCTGGATCGTGTAGGCAGTGTTTCCACTCACATTCAACAGAGGTGAGTATGTGACGTTGAGTTGTGTCACCCAACAAGCAAACTTAGGATCTCCTGCTGAAGTGGACGTAATGTAACTGTTGTTCGGACCGATAGGTTGACCTGGTGTATCCCATTCCAAGAAAACCTCACGCCCTGGATAAGAGAGAGGAACAGTTCGGTTATGGGTGATAGCAGGGCTACAATCTTCGCCCACCGTCTTGTTGAGGCATGCCTCGGATTGCGTTATATTGGCGGTGCTCAAGGTATTTGTCCAACCACCTGTTGTCTCATTCCATACATCCGAGCCATTAATGCGGGCTGGATTTGGCTGATTAATGATATGTAGAGCTGGGAAATTCTGCCAAATCAGACGAGTTTGATTGGCCGGACAAGAAGAGATATAAGGAGCAAGAAGCGTCCAGCCCCAAGATTGCGGAATCCCTGTTTCGAACCATACGGGCATAGGAAACAAGCCACTGAATTGACGAAATATCATCTGTTGCCGAGCCTCCGTCGAAATGGATTGTAAAAGCATTTGCCCAACTTCACGCGCGTTGAGATGGTTGAGAAATCCGTAGACGCCCGACTCCCCGAATCTCGTCAGCTTCTGATTGAAGTCAATGTATTCCCGCACATTGTTGACGGGATAATTGTAGGTGCATTGCACCGGTGCCTCAGCACCCAGCATGTTCGTAAGCAACGTTGCATGACCAACTTCTTGATCCGCCATAAATTCAATCAAAAAACGATCTTCTGCTGTGAGGCCGGCTTCTTCAAAGTCCTCAACGGAGAAGGTGGCAAGTCCCCAATGAAATAGATCAAGCTCGATCCATTCCTGATAGAGCGCCAGAGCCAGAGATTGGTAATCAAAATCGCTCTGCACTCGGTACACAGGGGCTGAACCATTCGTACCAAGGCCGCCAGAAGGAGTATATGGTGCTGGTTCTGGGGCATGTAATTTGCCATCGGCAGGGTATTTGTATGCATCAGGACCAGGAGGCAGGGCTGGAATGGATGCAGCAATCACGCTCGTGGATAAGGCGCCGGTAGTAGTTGGTGCTCCAATATATGTCGCGTGGGAGGTAATGTTAGTCACCGAGGCCACTGCAGGCGTCACAGCTGCTGCTGAAGAGACAGTTGTGTGAGCCTTGGAAACGAATGGTGCAGCTAGAGATGGGACTATCAGAGCCAAAACGCTGGCGCCGGTGTGTGCGGTAAACGGGACCATTGCTAATCTTCACGTAGAGCTAGCGAAATGCCAAGATGAAGGAAGTTGCAAAGAAATTTGAACATAAAGGAGCCTCATATCTATATTTGTATGCATCATTGGTTTTTCTTGTCAATCCCGATCAATGTCCTGAGGCTCCATGTGAAAATCTCAACCATGACTACATCTTGACGACATGAATCAAACCGGTCAAGGTACATTTTGCTTAGTCAATCTGCTTCATGGTCTGAGAATGGTGCAGATTCAACCGGAATGGTACAGAGACAGGAAATACCATGCACCTCTTTCGGCGCAAGTTTCTCGTAACGTAGGAATCGTGATGTTTACTTGTCTGCTTTTTGCAAGAACAGTGGGGCCATGTGGCTAATAGAGCGTTTAGGTGGGAGTGGTGACGCTTCGATATCACGGCTCGTGAATGGGTAATTTGTTGACCATGAAATCTCCTCGTACCAAATGCTCCGGAGTACTTCTCGAGTCAAGCAACGAACAAACCATACATTACGTCATCAACTGTCATAAAAGGCTTGCATCCGGGGCTTTGAGGAGCAGGACATTCGGCAAATCATCCTGAGTTGATACTTTAGTAGATGCTTATTAAGATAGTGGCTGCGACCAATCGGTGACGTGCGGCCTAGCATTGTACTGTACTTTCCAGGTTTGCGGTCATCGTTCCCGGGATAGGTTTGATTTTATCGCAAGTGATTACGCTCGAGTATTTACGCTCGAGTAAGAATCTATGCAGGAAGGACCCATTCTCGATATGCAACTCCAGCGTTTGGCAGCAATGCGAGAAGTCTTAATGATAACATACTTCACTTGTAACGATCCTCATTTATTAGAGTACAGTGGTAGTAAACGTTATTAGTCTTTCAGAACAGACTTCGCAACCAGCATACATGACCTCTCATACCAGTAGACTCCTTGACTCCGCTATGTAAGCTCAAGCGTTGAGACATGATACGCGAATGCCGCTGATTGCCGTGGATGCGTTGCCTAGAATGCTACATCGAAGGATAGATTGAGTTTACTTGAAAATAGCATCCGAGTCTAGCTCCTCCAAAGTCTTGTTGGCCGTTTCAGGCACCAGATAAAAGCTGAAAACCGCCCCAAGGGCACAGAATGCGGCGAAAAAGATGAACGTTCCGTACGTGATACTCTCGATCATTGGTGGTACGACAACGCCCTAACATCAAATTGCATTCGTTATTCGTTGTCGCTCCACGCACCATGGACATGATTTACTCACAATGATGAAGTTGCATAACCAACTGACGGCGACCGCAAATCCCACACCCTTTGCTCGATAGACATTAGTGAACACTTCTGAGGGCAATGTCCAGATTAGAGGTCCGTAGGTGAGACCGAAGACAATAACATAAATATCTGCTATTTGTCAGTTACATTGTCTATTTGACAGAACTGAAAAGCCAGTTTAATGAATAACTTACACACGAATGTTACGCAAGCCCAGCCGGCAGAGACGTGATCGGGCCAGGAATTGCCAAAGCTGCCATATAGGGCCGCCATGATGACATGAGCAATTCCCATACCGACAGCCCCCCAAATCGCCAGATTGCGGCGTCCGATATTGTCCATGAATATCATAGCGGGTACAACACCAATCAGCTGGCCTATATTGATCATACCAGCAAGAATATTGCTACTATGTGTATTTTGACCCAGGCTGGTAAAGAGAGTCGGAGCGTAGTAAACAAATGCATTGATCCCGCTGAACTGCGTGAAGAAGCAAATGCCACAAGCTACTATAGTTCGTTTCCATACCTTTGTCTTGAATAAATCCAGCCATTGTAGCAACTCGAGCTTATATCCTGTCGCGCCGGAGTGCTGCTCAGTGGCGAGCTCACGCTGAAAGGCCACTTCACCGAGTACTGATCGCCATTCAGCCTGAACACGGCTATCGGTCGATGGTAGGCGTCGTAAACGAGAAAGTGCTTGTAGTGAATCGTCATGGCGGTCGACCATGACAAGCCATCGTGGTGAATAAGGGAAGAAATGGATACAGATCCCAAGTACCGTTGCCGGGACCATCTGAAGTCCAAACGGCAAGCGGAAGGCGCTGCTGCCCGAAAGATATTGGGTGCCATATGTAACCCAGTAGGAAACAATAGCTCCAATAACGATGGTCAATTCCTCTAAAACAAGCAAAGACCCACGCATCTCCGGTGGTGAGATCTCGGAGATATATAGAGGAGCGCCCATTGCTAGGGTGCCAACCCCGATCCCTCCTATAGCACGACCAGCGACCAGTGTACCGTAATTTGGAGCCACTGTCTGAATAATGGCCCCAACATCGAAGAAAACCACCGCCATACTCAACGCCCACTTGCGAGATAATCTGTCTGCGACATAGGGATAGAAGAGACACCCGAGAAACCCACCAAGCAATAGCATTCCTGTCATAAATCCCGTGTTGAATCCAGAATGAGGATGTGATGGAGCAACTTCAGGATATTGGTCTCGAAACTGGGGCATCACGAGAATCAGGGAAATCACGCCTTGGTCATAACCATATGAGAACCCTCCCATTGATGCAAGAAGCGCAGCCCCAAAGACGTAGGGAGAGCTTAGGAAGGCTCTGGCGCCAGATTGCCCTTAGTGAACTTCCTCAGCCGCGAGTTGTGCAAATTTGAGGGTGCCATTGGAGTTAAGCTTCATTTCTTCATGGTGTTCAATGTCGTGGTCAACGTCTTTGTCGTTTCTTGGTCCCATTTCGTTCAGACTCTTTAACTATTTTGCAAAACTGGGGATTTTATTGAACTTCTTCTCTTGAAATGGGGGTATACAGGCTGTAAGTAGAACCACCAGGCCTTGAATAACTGCGAAGAAGTTTATACCCGAGATATCTAATGTTGATACTGCAAATGCAGGGGAGGAATCCTACTAGTAAGGGAAGCGTGTACCTTATTAATAGTCCTCCCAACGACGAGGAAATAACCCTCGGGATGAGAATTTGATGAAATATTAAGCCAATCAGCTTTATTCCTATCACTTTGCAGTCGACAGGGTATTCGATGGAGGAGAGGATCTACTACTTTCCCCACACACATCACAGCTCCACTAGGGTGTCTTTGGGTGGTGAAACTGATATTTATCAAGACATATCATCATAAATATCTACCGTAAGCTCGCACTTATTCGCCATGCCACCGCGCTCCAGTATCTGGTAATTTATCCTTCGGGTACTTCGTTTCTAGAACTCGAGAGTAGTAAATCAAGCTCAAAATGAGGAATGAACTAAACCATGCACATGATGCTAGGAAACAGCCAAATCCGGGGATTCCCCGCACTTGCGGGGGAGGCGGGGCAGAAGGGGTGGAGTATCCCGCGGATTATCTTGCTATATCAAGAAGTGAATCCCCCACCTTGATGTTATTGCCCCAGCGGTAATGCTCTTGGTTCGACATGAAACCTCGTAGCGGGTGCGAGTCTTGTCGTCAACGCCACAGGAAATGTGTGTACCCGCCTGGGGCCAGCGTATGTTACGGCTGCCAGGAGTCTGGCCGGCATTGTTCTCGCGCTCCAAGATTCATATTCACCACCAAGCACAATGACCGGCGAGCCACTGAGGTGAGTACGCACCCTCTTGTCCGGCCCAAAGAGGCCGAGAACTCGGGTTTGGGTTTGCCGCAGCAGTATGTTTTCCATCGCAAACATATGGCTAAACATTAATATAGCGAAGCAGACCGCTCTATACTGGCCCGTACCAATCAATCTCAAGTGGTGGCAGCTCTCTCGGTCTGAATGGCCGCGATGCAGCGCTTTTTATGCTCTATATACAGCGCCTAGCGCCAATGATGGACTCTTGTGATGAACTCCGACATTTCACTTTAGTAGTGCCACGGCTCGCTTTGCAAAATCCCATGCTTCTATATGGTGTCCTTGCCCTAGCAAGTCGGTATGATGCGCTTCATCACAATATAGCACCCGGCTTGGAGGCCACGTCACACAATAGTCGATGTTTAGAGTTGATGATTGGGACTCTAGCACAACCACCCGAAACTTGGGGTGCCGAACTGCTTGCTGCAGTTGTTATATCTCGGTCATACGAGGAGTGTGACTTCGAGACCGACTTAAATCATCACCACCTAACCGGTATAAGAAATCTCCTAGATCACAAAGCGATCTCGCTCCTAGCCTTGAAAGGGGGTTTAGCAGAAGCCGCTTGCTGGGTGCACCTAAGGCAAGTAGTGTATGCGTACTTAGTTCACCGTCGGCCAATTGACAGCCGTCTGGAGTTGTTTGAAGAGCTGCCAATATTCAAAGAAAACGATGACGTGGCCATTGCAAACCACATGGTGTATAATTTTGCTCGAGTATTGCGTTACTTTTCCAATCCGGAGCAGTTTACACAGTTTAGCAACTCAGAGCAATGGAAGGCAATGGAAAGGGAAGTAAGGGCATGGTATACTTCAAAGCCTGCTTCTTTCGAGCCGATATACAGTGTCGAGGTTGAGCCTGATGGCCCATATGATTTTCCTATTATGAACATGATATCCGCTGCATCTGGTGCGTATTGATACATCTCCTGAAAGGTTTAAACACTGATGCGCAGAGACAGTCATGGGACTACAATACTATCATGCTGCCATCATAATGTTCTCGATGAGACAACATGCAGCAGCAGGGTCATATTCTAGTCTCGAGAATGCAAAACTGAGAAAGAAGTTAGAGGTCATTGAAGTTTTCCCTAACTCTGCAGGCTCGTGTTGCCAATATCCGCTGACATACTATAGCGCTCAATCGCAGCAGCTCTCTTCGTATTGATGGGACTAGCTATTTCTAACGAGCATGTGGAAGATGCTTTTCTTCTCCCGACTCATATGTTATCTCTCTGTGAGTATCATTACTTGCTTCGCTTTGGAGCGGTATCTGACTTTTCATTCAAGGCGGTTTCTGCATGCAAAGTGTTGCTGAGCGAATCAAGACGCTCGACTTTCTTAAAAAGGTGAATAAGAAGGTGTATTGGGAAACACGTTCACTGACTACCTCACTCTCGGAATATTGGCGAGAGATTGATGATTTCTCAAGCAACACCTTATAGACCGTCGTTGAAACGGAAATGGGCAAGCCAACGCTGGTGTGATGTCAGAAACGAGATTAGTCGTCGTGCCCGGAATGCTTACTGTGTCAAATTTCCTAGCAGAGTTCACGTATCTGAGGTCGGTACCAAGCCGAATTTTCCCCTCCGGGTCATGATTAATGGTAGATGCGTGAATCTAGGGCCAAATTGTTAGTGGAACATTAATGTTGTCAATTTTGGTAAAACCTGATAACTTACCTGATGTGGTTTATGAAGAACAACATCTAATGCCATTTGGAATTAATAAGTTTCTCTGATACAGTAAAGATAGTAGAGCCAAAGGAAGGAAGAGAAATGGTTAAGGCTTGCGCGAGCTTTTGGGCCCACGTTCAAAACCAAAATAGGGTCATGTCTTAGAAAAGATGATAATATGACTTTGACCTCAAGGATTGCTTACCACCAGCTTCATAGGCGGTCACAAGCCATCTCCGACTATATCTATGACTGAAGTCTGCTGGTCCATCACAGAGAAACCCTGTCTCCATCATATTTTTGTTAAAAGCGTACTTCATTTCCTCTTCGGTCATGCCAGAAGCGGCTGCTTGCTTAGCAAAGTCGTTTTCGATCTCCTCCCCCAGCTCGTTACCGCCTTCGAGATATATGATCCCACCTCCGTTAATCGATATGTCTCCCAGAGGAACCCAGGCAGTAACTGAAGTTGGTTCCCCGTATCGTAGAAAAACCTGGTCATAGTGGACACCGATTGCCCTGTTTGTAGGGCAATTATTTCGCAAAAGCGTGCGTTTGAGGCCAAGTATGTCGTTGGCCCAGCCTGTGAATTCCGCTACGAAATTGCGCAACACCGGGTGATTCACAAATCCTTGTATCTTACCATCTTCAGACCCGATGTACCACTCATCAGTGTGAGCTTTTACCGACAGGTCTTCGAACTCTGCTGCTTTACTGGTAGTTCCCAGGCGTGCATTCTTGGCAGCACCGGCACCAATGTTCGGGTAATCTCCAGGTTCCGCCGATTTGTTGAAGATGCCCTGGACTGGTTTGGTACCAGGCTCAATAATGCCGGTTACAGACATAGCTTCAAAATATGATGCCCGTGCTGCGAGAACATCTTCTCGGGGAAGGAGTCCTTTCAGGAAGAGGTAGCCATCCTTATCATAGCGTTGCCGCAAGTCATCCATAGACTCGGAGGGATGTGAAGGTTTCAGCTCTCCGACTTGGTCACTCTTCAGTGGACCATCATTGACCAAAAGCTGGGGAGTTTGTTGCTGTGGAGAGAAGATTGTAGACGGCATTGTGCGAATGGTGGCTGTCAAAATCTGAGGAATGGATATTGAACTCTTTACGGTAGGAACGAATAGGGACTAACGATGGTTTTAGAGGTATCACAACATTGAAGATGTTATCGCATTTCAATTATGGAAATATGTGATGTTTTGCCAAAGTTGCCAAAGCGATAGGGTCTGTGGAGGCAAATTTGGGCATCGATGGTTTAAACAATTGGTGCTAGTTGATCCCGAGGGGTATTTCCCCTATCTGGTAAGTATTCCGCGGGGATGCAAATACTGACGCCAACCTAATCGATCCGTCGGCAACTGATAATAGTAGTCAATGAAACCCTACATAAACCTAGAGCAAGATCTTTCTCTAAATATGATAGAAGTATCGTTTGAGCGCGTTCATGCACCTCTTAACTCACTTTACCATGTGGAGAAACCCCATGTGGCTGGGAGACCTTCTATCAATGACTATTGTGCATAAGGAAACCAGCCGAATTACTTATATGACATCTTCTCGATGGTTAACTTTTGACTTTTAGTTGAAAATCTTTTCTACAAAGAAAACCCCTACGTAATTAGTTGCCTGGTGGCAATTCCAATCGGCATGTGCCATCCGGTCACTGCTCTCCAACGTCTTCTCACCTGAGAGGCGCAGATCTTATGGTACTTGAACAAATAGTTCATAACTTAGTCCTGCTTTGATATTTGTTATGTGCGCTTGGGGAAGTATTTGACCATCGTGTTTAACAACTATCTTTTCGACATTCGCACGACGAACATCAATGTTGAAAGTTGCTCCACGGAACAACCTTGTGATTTTCATATTGTTCCATGCTGATGGCAATTGAGGTTGTATCCTTAGACCAGCTGCATCGCCACGAAGGCCGCAAAGACCTTCGATGAAACATCGATATGCCCACGGTACTGTTCCAGTATTGAAAAGGTGGCTGGAACGGCCAGCAGTCCGAGGATACTCATGCCACGCACCCCGGTAATAGTTGGGAATATACACTGGTAGCTGACCACGCTGCAGATAGTCAGCCTCGGATGGTCCAGGGAGCAATTGACGAAGGAACTTATAAGCTCTGTCGCTTTCTCCAATTGTATATAGACTGTAAATGTAGAAAACTGATGCATGGTTGTAGACAGCACCGTTTTCGGCAGACCCGGGGTGCTTTTGCGTGACACGGCCAACGTCCTCTCGCATACCTTTAAATGCTGGGGCAAACATGACGACACCGTATGGAGTGCTCAGTTGTTCATCGACTTGTGGTAATATCTTCGCACGTTGTTCGGCACTGGCGCCGCCGCCTAGAATGGACCAGGCCTGTGGATTTAACCAAATACGACCCTCGGGATCTTTCTTGATTCCAAATGTAACACCGTCGTCTGTAATTCCACGCGCGAACCAGTCGCCATCCCATAAGTGGCCGTTGGCAGCAGAGTTGACTTCCTTAGCACTGGCTCGGTATTGTAGTGCCAGCTCACTCTTCCCTTCTTGCTCGCACACAGCAGCCCACAAATTCAAAGCGTATGCAGTTGCCAGAGTGAGCCACCCGGAGACACCTTTGCCCTTGTAGCCGACCATGTTCATAGGATCGCACCAATCTCCTTGGGCAATATAGCTGAGGCCCCGCTCATCGCGTTGTGTCAAAAGGAAATCCATAGCTCGGCTGAGGCGTTCAAAAACGGTCAGGGTATCCCCACTCTTACTACGGACCTGCTCCTTGAGAAGAGCATAGTCGGCAGTCTCGGCGAGGTAGACTTCTAGGGCCACAGGAAGCCAGACACAATGATCTGTATGTGGAATCTGATTCACATACTTGAGCTCTGCCCCCTCTATAAGCAGGATGCCATCTGGCATTGCACCGTTAGGCCTTTGTTGCGCCAATGCTGTTAGGAAAGCATGGCGCGTGTATTTTGGGTTAATGAAGCTCATGCCCATGTGATCTTGCATATAATTGCGCGTCTGCGGATCAGTTGTCAGACGGTTGACATCGCCATGGTAGAAAGCCTGTCGCGGTAACCAGTTGTTCACGAAGTTGTCTAATTCCTTGTCTGGGGTCTGAATCCGCAGGCATCCTTGTCCTTGCGCCATGTAGCGTGCGTAGTCTTGGGCAGAGCTCTCGAAGCCTTGTTTGCTAAGATATCTCTCTTTCATAGTGTGGATCTCCGAATCATTCAACGCTGGGCCAAACAAGAATCGGAACTCACGCTCCTCGTCTGTTTTTAACGAAGAATGATACAATACAACCGCTGCGGGAGTTTCATATCTAGCATCGTGGCGACCTAAATCCAATTGGTGCAGGGCGGTTGGCGCGTGCAAACCACCCTCACCCTCGAACGCCTCTTGCACAGTCTCCCAAGAATCGGGCGGTGTCTCACACAAGAAATACGTTTTGTCTTTCAGGAGCTTGTTCCTGAAATAATCCTCGGTCTTTTGATAAGGTGTGATGCTGCTCGCTACTATACCGCCCAAATCCTCGCGATATTCGGCCGATTGGTTCATCCATGACATGTAGCCAATCGGAAAGTAAGGACAGACACCGATCTTGCGAGGGCGACCAGAGATATTTGTCACCTTCAGAGTCCAAAGCTCGGCTACATCCTCAGTTGGCAAGCTTAACTTCAACTCAACCCGGATGCCTAGATGCTCCGTAATCCAGACGATGTCACTTTTTCCGACAGAGAAGACGAACCGGTCCACCGGGGCGCGCACCGGCTCATAGGGAGCAGAAAACAATTGGCCAGTTTCCTCGTCTTTTACATATACGAAGCGGCCTGGGTGGTGGGCATAGTAATTCTGCTCTGGCTGCATGAACGTCTTGGCCTCTAGATTCGGAGCATGAGCGTACTTGGCTGGCTCCGGCTGCATGAACTGCGCAGTAGCATAACCACGGCAGGTTATTTGAATCATCATCTTTTGATTCCATAAGAAACCTCCGGCCTTTGGCATGGCCGTTGGGCTAGTGAGGTCGTAGCGGTCACCATCGTGAGTAGGGTGTAGCATTGTGCTATGGCGAACGTCTCGTCGGACGTTTGAAAAGCTTTCACCAGCTTGTTTGAACTGATCTGAATAATTCCTGACAGTTATTTAAGGTGAGAAGATGCATCACCGCCTCCTCTTGGCTGTTGATTCCTGTCCATACGACTTAGGTAAGGTGCCGGTCGGAAGGTCCACTTCTGTCATCTGGCAAAATACGGTTAAATGCCCCGGGCTCTTAGGCTCTTTTTGGCATCCTTGGTTGGGCCAATTCCAGCAAACTCCTGGGATCACTGGGATTGTCAACGACCGGAATACATGGCAGATAAAGCACCGGGCACCGAACGGCTTCCGTGGCCGGAAATTGGCATCGGTCTTTCCTGGACTCTCATGAAGCAAGGAGTCCTAGAGCTCCCGGGGTGAAGATCTAGTGCTGATCCGGCCCGGCTCCTCAACCCCGTCTCCGTAGCCCTTCCGAATGAGAAACGCGGGGTTTTTGTGTCAGTTGCTTTTGGCTGTTGGCGGCGTGGAGGATCAAAGGCTAGCGCCTAAACCTTTTCACTTCTTAACATCTACGTTGATGTTAGCCGGCGCTCTTCAGGCAGTCACCATACGGCTCAATGCATTTACAAAGTACTACTCCTGACTGGGTATTTTGTCGACGAGCGGACGATTACATGATATTTGTAGCAGGGACATTTTGCATGGTAACCTTTAACAATAGGTCATCAGCTAAAGTCCGTGTGGGAGGCGAGTATTCGAGAGTCAAGAAACTCACGACACATATCTATATCAGGAAGCAATCATGAAGTTCTCACCCGTCAGACTCCTCGCATCTCCAAGCGGTGTGATCTCAAGGTCCATTCACGGTTCGTCATTGTGCAGAGCGGACTCGGCACTAACCGAATCCGCTTATTCCTTGCACTTATGCTCAATAGCCTTTGCCCACACACACCACTACGATGAAGCTCCAGCTATTCCGAAAGTGCGGAAGCCCGCCCTCAGCCGCGGCAGACAAATGCTTGACCTATGTCAGAGTCAATCACGAGATACGGTCAGACTGTCAGCCATGCGTATATTACCATTGATATTGAGAGCGGGGTGCCGCCGCGACCGCAGATCGTAGCTGAAGTGAAGTGATCGGCACCGCCTTGAGCACCGAGCTGGTGTCAGCCTGGGGAATGCCTCTGCATAACCATCCACATTCAGCACTAGCTTGCAGCGGATCATCTTCCTGTACTGCTCCTTTCAGTGTACAACACCACGTCGCCGCATAATCTCGTATTACGTCTTGGCAGGTCCAGTCCGAGCCCATTCCTAAGCTTTCACAATTAAAGTCTGATGTCTAGAACGAAGAATTCTTCAATTGTTCGAACCTGGTTTCTCATGTTCAAGCTCTAGTTGCTGAAGGAAAGTAGTTCAGGATGCTCGGTCTCGTTGTTCCCGCCATTCTCTCAGCAGCCACGCTAGCGTCTGCATGTACTATACCCGGAGGAACATTGTCGAACAACATATCGCAAGGCTTTGCAATTCAAGTCCAGAATAAGGATCATCCTGAAATCCACAATCGATTGATGAATTTGTGGGAGGCAGGAGGTGGAGATAAGCATTTATATCTTAGCCCAGCTGGAGATGCAGCCAGTGACCTGACCCTCGTGAACGGAGTGATCACTAGAGGCATCATCCATGCTGTCATTAATGGAGAGGTGCGGGAGAGAGACATCCTTGACAATCGTGATGCTAACTATGAGTGCAGTATACACCGGAGGATAACACGACCAAGACATTTATGACGGAGCGAGGAGATCCCAAGGCTTATTATGACGTGAAGTACGGATGCAATCCAGACACAGATGCCGTCCAGACTCAATTGTCATTCAAAGCGCGGGACACTCTTCTGGGCGGTTTTATATGTGTTCGTACGGCATCTGGAGACAGATACGAGTTTCGGTATTCTCCTCCTGGAAATCAAGGTGAGCTTGCAAAACTGGCCATACAGCTCTACAAAATACACGACAGCTAAAATACTTGACAACAGTCGTCAACGCTGCACGGCCATGTATACCCATCACTATGGCTGTAATCCACCCTTGACAGCGCGACTAGTTTATTCGGATGAGAATGCTATGGGGCTGTTAAATTCTATCACGAAGCAACGACTATTTTGCATTTTGTAAGCATTCAAGGCATTGAAGGCATGCAAAAATGGCGAGCTACGAAGTAAATCTTAATCATTAGTGCAATATACTATCAAAATCTCTAGGAGCTTGAGTCATGATTACAATGTGCATCCAGGCAAGGAAGTGATAGAGGCAATAACTTGAGTTCCAAGGGCCATCAATAGAGCCACAAGTCTATTTCTATAAGGTATCAAAATGTCTAATCCCAGTGGATAGGCTTCTATACGCTCTATCATCACCGGTCTCTATGTCATTTCATGTCGTAATATGTCAGGATCTATGGTCCGAAATAACGCCGAAATCATGCGTATGCTATGCTGCCGTTAAACTTCGATGGCAGAAGCAACAGTCGCGTCGTGCTTGATAGGGTTGACTCCCTCGTCCCAGCCGAAGACAAAGTCCCTGCCCAGTTCCTTGCGGATAGCGGTCTGCACCGCTTCTAACACATTCTTAAAGACTCCAAAGTTGGCGGGATTCTCTTCGTCGTTCTCACCCCCTTGGAAAACACCGGTTCGCACAAGGCACGTGTTCCAGCCGTACATGTTGCCTCCAATGATGTCGCTGGCCGGGTTGTCGCCCACCATGTAAATGTTCGACGGGACCCGCTCGTCGTTATGAATCTGCTCCATCCAGGAGGCCATCACCTCATCAGCATACTTGTATGTAGCCAGCTCGGGCTTGCCGTATACTACTCGCTCCAGTTCCACGCCAGTGAGCGACTTGTACATGGCTTCCAGGCCAATGCGGAAAGCGCCCTGAGACATGCGGGGGATCGGATGCTCAGTGGGGCAGAGCATGTCGCCCTGGGAGAAGTAAATGGGGATGCGCTGGGACACCGGGTCTTTGGCCACAGTTCCCAGCCGGCCGTCTTCGCTTCGTAGCAGATCCATGATGATTTGCATGTCTGTGGCGTAGTCACGGCTATCAGAGAAGACCATGATGGCGTCAATGTTCACCTTGGTGAAATCGCGAGGGCGAGATGATGCCCGCTCCTCGTCGGTGAAGACTCGATAGGGAGCAATGGTCGGATCGGAGGCAACGATGTCGTTGGGAACGACAATGTCGCGGAATCCATACTGCTCTGCAACCTCACGGCAGCGATATCCTTCACCTCCAACCACAAGGACTGTGTTATAATACTCTGCCAGCGCTCGCATGGGAGTGTGTGACTGGATGAACTGCTCCGTGGAGATGGGTGCGCCCAAGATAGCGGATAGCTGATTAACTCGAGCCTGCTCGGGCTTGCCAGATCCATTTGTCAGGAAAATATGTGGGATTTTGATGCCCAGTTCGTTATCGCCATTGAGAATTTCCAGGGTCCGCTTGCCCTCAGGAATGAGACGGTCACCGTGGACAAGCACTCCATCGATATCGAAAACAAATGCCATATCCTTGGCGGCTTTGACCTTTGAGCCTGACATATCTTGAACCTGAGATACCAGGAGATCTCTGGTGGAGCGGATGGTGGGGAGGTCAGGCCTCGCAGCAGCGCCATCTTCAGCTCGGGTGACTGAGCTCAGTCGAGATTGCCGCTTGGATTTCGGAATCGGAAGGGAGGTGCCAAACGAGTTTCTGGAAGATCTTCTGTCCCTCATGGATGGAGAAATGGAAAGGTTGTGCATGTACGGTGATACATCGGCGTGTGATGACCGAGTAGCAGGGACTTCCACCGATCCAGGGTGGTCTTGACTCGGAGATGATGGGATAGGCATGAAGCCGGTGCCTATTTCATGAGAACCAACTTGATGGAGGCCATTGCTGGTCACTTTGTTGAGAGGTGGTGACTGGGGCACACCGACGCCAAAGTCTTCGTCCGCGTATGGAGCCATTTCAGCTGCTTTCTCGATGATGGAACTTCAAGACTGCATGTAAAGATCCAGAGTAATACGTGGAAAAGGCAGCGTATGCGTGGGGTATGGGTGAACGCTGGAAGGCCCTGCACTTTAGGAGCGAGTCCGTCTTATATATCACATCCGCCGCTCCCGCAAGAGCATCCCGCAACCATTGCGGTCCGCTCAAACTCTACGTTCCGCGTCTTCCCGCAGTTAACACGTGAAGATGATGAAGTCGTGGTACGTGTGTAGGACTTTTGTCGTGTACCAAAGTCAACGTCTCCAGACTTACATCATAGCGGATCCTGAATATGGACACGCCGAGATGGCTCCGGGCCTGACATTGATAGCGATATCTCTGGTGGCCAATCTCTATAGGGCATAGATGCCGCCGTCAGACCCTGAATGTCAGTCTCAAACGCGCTAGGCCACACCGTCAGAACGGCAGCTACTCTGTTGTTATTCTCGACGGCTTGTTGGGAGAAAGAGTGGGCATTGCTGGACCCTGATTTACCTGACTAAGGCGGCAGAACAGCGCCGCCCTGTGAGATTTCCCTAGTGTATATCCACGCTGTGGAGACATTCTCTGACTTTTCGCCTATCTTCGCCGCCCGAAGTCAGCTTGGGGGGGCAAGATGGAACGTGTCGAGTCAACCAGTGTCGACGTGGCCTTGATGGGCAGAGGAGTCCGCAATGATGCATTGTTCTGATATCAACTGATAAGAAAGGCTCCGGTCAATTCTCCGTCAAATAGAGCGAGAGGAGATCTTGGAGTTGGTGCGGCTCAAAACTAAGCCCTGCATTACAGGGGCTCTCGGTCAAGGTGCCGACAGCGCCAGGCCTCTGCTAGAACGCCCTGTTAGGTCTTTAGGGCACTTCACCATTGCAACACAGCAAGATCCGCGGGCCGCCAAGGGCTGGTGTCCGAGATGCCGCGATCTACGCTGGCTCTGCCATTCACGTCATCCTGGACCCGCTAGGCGCCACAGTTTACTGGAGCTTTTCACCATTAAGCTCCGCTCGCAGGCGCTATCTGACTCGGTCACTAGAAAACACGTTTTCACTCTGCCAAGGCAGCAACTCTCAGGTACAGTACCGCACAGTACACCGCACGTATCGAGTAAGCGGCTTTGAGACAGAGACTGTTCCTGAGGCCACCGATGATAAGGCGGCAAATGCGGCATAAAACTCTGAAGAACAAGATTGTTCCTGACGATCCAGGAGACGTGGCGCTTTGCCCCGGTTTTCAAGATGCGCGAGTCGCTAGGACTAACATGAACGAGTTTTTTTGTTCGATGACCTCATTGGTTGTCTGAGAATAGCACTGCTATGTTCAGCAGTGCAGTCTCCAAAATACGCTTTACGGGCGGCGACTTGCCTGACTTATAGAAAGAGATTGGAGTGGACAAGCTTCGGTTAAAGCACCAAGAAAAGAAGAAATCACGCCCAGACGGTTGTACCACCAATATCTAATCCAAGAGGCACACAGTTACACAGACTACCAGCCCGACACACTTCAAAACTCAAGACTATCCTTGGCCTTCTAATTTGCTTGCTTTTGTCAACGGACAGACAAACTGAGCACGATGGCCTCGAACAAGACTTACACTCTCTCAAACGGCGTCAAAATCCCAGCTCTGGGGTTTGGCACCTTCGCTAACGAGGGCGCTAAGGGCGAAACCTACATCGCAGTGACCAAGGCCCTCGAAGTCGGTTACAGGAGCCTGGACTGCGCATGGTTTTACAAGAATGAGGCAGAAATTGGCGAGGCGCTGCGCGACTTCCTTACCAGCCACCCCGATGTCAAGCGCGAAGATATTTTCATCTGCACAAAGGTCTGGAACCACCTACACGAGCCTGAAGACGTGAGGTGGAGCGCCGAGGATTCCCGCAAAAAGCTCGGCGTCGACTATATCGACCTGTTCCTTATGCACTGGCCGATTGCCGCTGAGAAAAATGAGGACTACAGCGTCAAGATTGGTCCAGATGGCAAATACGTCATCAACAAAGAGTTGACAGCAAACCCTGAACCCACCTGGAGAGCTATGGAACGCCTCGTTGAAGATGGTATCGTGAGGTCGATCGGTGTATCGAATTTCACGGTCCCAGGCCTGCAACAACTACTCAAGTTCGCGCACATCAAACCAGTCGCCAACCAGATTGAGATCCATCCTTTCCTGCCCAACACTGAGCTGGTTGACTTCTGCTTCAAGAATGCCATCATGCCCGTGGCATACTCTCCTCTCGGCTCGCAGGATCAGGTGCCGACCACCGGGGAGCGCGTGCGAGACAATCCTACTCTAAAGGCGGTTGCGGAGAAGACTGGCCACACACTTGCGCAGGTGCTTCTAGCCTGGGGCATGCGACGAGGATACGTGGTGTTGCCCAAGAGCTCAAACCCCGCAAGAATCGAGAGCAACTTCCAGGTGCCAGAGCTAAAGGAAGATGATTTCAAGGCAATCGAGGCTGTGGCAAAGGGCCGACATTTCCGATTTGTCAATATGAAAGACACGTTCGGATACGATGTTTGGGCAGATGAGGCTGTTTCGGCGTAGAGGAGTTCTAGGAGATGGAGGGAAATGATACCATGTTTCTAAAGAGTCTGATAGGATCATTAGAGACCATTGAGCAAGAAAGAATTTCACGAGCAATCAGCTTTTATTTCTGTTTCTCAACGCCGCTTCGTGAGCACTCCAAATTAGACATACTCGTACAGAATATGACCCGATAGCCAATTTTGGGTGAGAATACATCTGATTTGTCCCAAATCAACGCCCCATTTTCCTCATCATCTAGCTTCACACCAATATTATGCCTAATTGACGAGGTGCAAAGTAGTAGTTTCATAGGCCGACAGATTGTAGCTTGTCCTCCCAGTAACAAATTGAATGATGCACGTGAGTCTGCCTCTACTATTTGAGTTTCTATCACACATCCTTCGAAAACTCGTTCCTAGGTTTGATCAACCGGCTCAGGTCGCCAACAGGTAGTTGGAATGGGAAGCTCAAAGCAGCGAGCATAATAGCCGCGAAGATCCACCAGCCAAAGATACAGGTCGCAAATGCACAGGCTCCTGCTGCCTGGATTTCCGTTTGTTAGCTATCTTTTGGTGAAAGAACACTTGCAACAAATATAGGGTGGCGATACTCACCACAACCATGTTGCCTGCCCGTCCTGCATTTCCAGTATAGTCGGCAGCCAGCAGCCAGTATGCAACCGTAAGGAATATGAAGGTAAGAAGCAGGGTTAGAAATATCATTACGAAGCAAACATTTGTTCTGAGTGAGCAGACGAGAAAGATGAGACACATCATTCCCATCCAGATGGTGAAGAAACCTATGGCAACATTGTATCAGCAGGGTTGATATCTTGTGTCAGTAACGGCAGTCGATACACACCAAAGCTAGCGTTGAATCCTTGAGTTGTTAAACCGGCGGCAGAGGAGTCGGCATCAGGAGCATAAGACGCATAAGCCGCAAATGCTGGCGTCAGAGTGGCACCGAAAGAGAGAAAGAAGGCGGCGAATGTACAGAAAACCACGGATGGGAATGTGTTGCCGAGAATCCATTCTAGAAGTCCTCCGAGAAGTTGGAGTAGTCCACCGAAGAAGTAGTATGTGCCGCTACGAGTAGTAAGTGATTAGTTGGTCGTACGCTTTGGCTCAGATTGAAGAATCACTTACACTCCTGCCGCTCCGTTACCTCCAGCGCCTCGCCATCCCATTAAGTCGCAGGATAACGGAGTCAGGGCAATCAAAAAGCCAACAAGTGCACTGTCGCCCATCAGAAGCTATTTTGTATATCCGAGCAATGAATCTGCCTACATTGGTGTCGGGTTACCAAAGGTCTTTCTTAGATCTCCTTTGACGGCATTCTGTGGTGAGAGGTAAAGCTTTTCGAAAAGCTCGGCAGACATTGAAATGGCACCAGCAGTCCGTATTCGTTGAAGAGTATCATCCATCTTGCCATTGTGATCGTAATCATTGTTGAGGCTAGCGTTTGTGTTCGACATATTGAGGGTGTTTGCAGAGAGTATCTCGAGGATGAGAAAATTTGCAGCTTCGATTTGGTTGACGGAGTTCACGGAAGGGGACGGCAACAAATTTCAATGAGAGGTAGCTCTGCTGGATAGAACATCCCCGCCCGCAAGGACCAGTGTCCGGTAGTTCGATGTCATTGTTCATGATGGTGAGAGTGACAGCAAGTGCCGTAACCCAGCCACCCACCCATTGCCGCTTGGCCGGATGGATCCCTAGTAAGGGGTGCTGGGCTCGGGCATGGCGTTGGTCGAATTTCCTTCTGCGCAGTGACTGACTGCAGCTTGTGAGGTAGCTCAGACCCTCGCCCCTGATTAGCTCAAGCATCTTGAGAGTAGCTGTCTTAGATGGGCTGATCTAGCCGGGTTATCGGATCGGACACATGAGCATTCTCATCTCCGTGAAGCTAACTCTGCAGCAAGCCACTGATGTCCTTGGATCCTCCTAGTGTCCTTTTCTCTCGTTCATTCCCTTCCCCACAGTCTGCGTCCCATGCGGGGAAAGAAGCGGAGTAAAGGTAGAAGAGTGGACCATTCATGCGAGAATGCGATCGAATAAGACACAGGAATGATGATACTGACTGCTTCTACTGCTTGGAACTTTGCGAAGGGGGCCACCCTCGTTGTGAACGGAATGGATGCCTGCTCACCAATGAACATCCGCTCGCTACAGGACATATGGACAGAGAACAGCGGCGGGGTCCGTTGGTATACTCAATTGGCCAATGGACAAGAACTTAGTGATTGGGGGCACAGAATGTCGAGTTTTATTTCTTCTCGAGGGCATGGGTTGGCGGAACCGAGATAAGCCATCTCGTTCCACACATCCCAAGTTTCAAATTACCTACTGGTTGATGGAGACGCGCACAAGGGTCGTGGTGCAAAAGTACCATGCGAGTTTTGCGTGTTATATTCCTTATTCTCGTGTGTGGAGGGTCGGATTCTCAGGCTTGATGCTGTGTGGTGCAGCGTCAAAACATTGTGCACGTCCCACGGCCCAAAGGGAACGGGGGAACGGATGCCGTAGGCTGGCGTTGCTAGTTTCCGATGCTGCAGGCGCTAACATTCAGCGGGGCGATTTCACTTCCGATGTGACACAAGCTGGAATCTGACCTCAATCTGATTGGACGGCCAGAACCCCGTCCATGAATCGGTCAACTGTCTGCTATGGCTTGATGTCAAAGAGATTATAAGGCAAGCCGGTCGAGCTGAAGCTTTGAATTCGGTCCAAACCTTGAGAATCTTACTTTGGATCTTGAACATCTCGACTTGAAAGCAGCAGGGGTTTGTGACCATTGTTATATGGTCTCGTCCACAATATATCAAAAGCAGACACACTCTGTCCCGAGTGGAACGCACCCATACACCGGATCTCAGACAAGGAATGAGAGCTGAAAGAGTGTTTTCCAAGTTCTCTCAATTCGAAAAGGCTCGAATTTTGACTCGTTCAAGTATGATAAACTTTCTGATCCAGACTCGCCGTCTTTCCTGGTGAAGAAGCATTAGAAGACATGTGCAAATTTCATTCTTACAACTTAAAAGCATTCTGTAGAATAAGCATCTTAATGACTTTTGCTGAACACAAGTACAAAGCCACCATTGTATGATGTCAATGGCCGGACTCGGTTACATGTGTCTTGGCGTGTTCAATTTTCTTCCCATATTATCGGTAGTCTCACAACAGCCTGGCCTCACGCCTCAAGATAACTCCAGTCCCTCTAGTAAGAAAATACTCAATAGTTTGGGCGTACAAAAGATGTTCAACTTGTGCACCACCGATCCTTCGGTGTCCTTGTCTCATAAGGGGGACGACCTCGAGACCGCTACAAGCCATGGAACTCCGACACTGCCTTCGAATTTTTGTCAGAATTGTACCTTTGATTTAATCTCCCAAATTTTGAAATCTGATAACTTTTGGTAGAATCCTGGGTGATAAAGGTTATTGCCATGTTTCCACGAATGATTACGTTCTTAATAGCATATGGTTTCATAGCTACAATTGCTTTCAAATTTGGGACGTCTTACCTATCATTACCAAAAGACATATTCGGGAGCTACGAGAAGCGCAATGCACAGAGCTCCTGCGAGCATGATCCTATCCCTCACGTCCAACCCAAGGCAGGGACCTGGCTGGGTTGGGGAGCTGATGTTTACAATAACCGATGGGCGAGCGACGATTCAACGATCAGTAGCGCAAGTGTATCATCTCTACGACCAGTCTGTGAGCTACAGTATAGTCTTGGAGTCAGTGCTGCTCCACTAGTCGAGAACAACATGGCATACTATCCCACACATGACGGCCTGCTCGTGGCTCTTCATTTTACAAGCTGTGTCGTGACATGGCAGGTGAATATAACTGATATCATCGCTAAATATAAGCCAGTCCCCGCGAATTTGGAGGTCGTTATACGCAAAATGTCCCGCACCACTCCAGTTACAGACGGCGATAATCTCTATGTGGGAACACAGGCAAACGCTCTCCTGTTGGCCATTCACAAGCACAGTGGGAAACTACTCGATGTGTTGCAAATTAGCGAGCATCCTGCAGCTATTTTGACCCAGTCTCCAACTTTCTACAAAGGGATCATCTTGATCGGGGTTTCGAGTTTAGAGGAACTACTTCAACTTTTTGATCCGGACTATCCTTGTTGCACCTTCACTGGCAGCATGAACGCAGTAATCATGACACCAGACGGTCTAGAACTTCTTTGGACTCAGAAAATGGCTCCAACAGCATTAGGATGGAGTGGGTCTTCAATATGGGGGTCACAGCCAGCAATCGATCCAATCCGCAGGCAGGTGTTCATAGCTACTGGGAATACCTATCGAGCACCAAACTCGTTCTCAGAATGTCAGAACCAGACGGCGAACATAGATGGCTTGGGATCAAATGCGTGCCTACCTAGTGACGTCTACCAGGAGTCGATCCTCGCCCTCGACCTTGAATCAGGCAGAATAAACTGGGTCAAGCAGGTCAATCCGGTTGACGTATGGAATGTTGCGTGTCCTAATCCTGTTGGAAATGCTACCAAAGACAGGGCAGAGCTATGTCCAGATCCCGGACCCGATTTTGATTTTGCAATGGCTCCGACTTTTGTTCGCGGCTCAAAACACACACCTCACCAGTTGGATATGATAGTCGTTGGCCAAAAGTCAGGTGCCCTCTATGCCCTGAATGCAATGAGCGGAAGTGTTTTGTGGCAGACAATTACCTCACCCGGAGGTCTCACGGGCGGCCTGTCATGGGGCATTGCAGTCGACGATTCAACTGTATATTACACTGCGATCAACAGCCTTCAAGTGAAGTATATTCTTCCTGGTGGGGAAGCATCAATCCAAAATAGCGCATTCGGGGCGGCAAGTCTAGTAGACGGGCACATCATTTGGCAGGCCGCGGCACCGCATGGTAAAATGAGTCGGGTACCGCCTACCGTTGTCAATGATATCGTTCTTACTGGAGTAACAGGAGAGTATACAGATGCTCTCGGGAACATGTCGCAGTCTGGCACTCTCATAGCTCTTGATAAACGTTCCGGAGCACTCATTCGTGAGTACCCATTAGGAGGTTGGTTTGGAGGCGGGATCGCCGTGGTTTACAATTATGTCATGTTTGGAACGGGTTATAGTAGCCTCTACCCCAGCTCTGGGTCGTTCCACGTCTGGAATTTCGACAGGTAAAGGTGCAGGGTCATTGTTCTGGTACAAAGGCTTACTAACTCAGACCGGTAGCCAACCCTGCGAGCTCTGCATCTACCTAATTCTAAGACTACCGTGCCCTCTCGTCAAAATTGAAGTTCATATTTCCCGTCCTGCCGTGCTTGGAGGTCCTGTTTGGAGCTTGCTCTGTAGATTCATTTCGATATCATGCTTACGCGTGTTCTCATCTACCACACCAAATAGAACATCCATTTCCTCAAGCGAAAGATTCTTTGTCTCTGGCAGCAGCAAGGCGAAGATGCAGCCACAGATGTTCAAGGTGCCAAATATCTAAGCAGGGTTAGCCGAATCGAGGGATCTAGGATCGACCAGTATCGACTTACCATCCATGTTTTCCAGCCAATGTTCAGGACTGTAGTCGGCGTGATCTTGGAGACGACAAAGTTCCAAAGCCAGATATTCGCTGCACCAATAGCCATTCCGTAATCTCGGATTCTCGTGGGGAAGATCTCTCCAATGTACACCCACTGCAAGGGACCCCAGGATACGGAGTAGGCAACGACAAACAGGTAGATGAGTGCCATCATTCCTTGCGCAGACGACGACCCAGCACCATTTCCAGGTGCTGTAGGGGGATGCGTGGCCAGTACACCCCCCAGTCCGAACAGAAACGTGCCCATGAAAAATGCACCACCAGCCATCAGAGTCTTTCGGCTGAAAAATTGCACACCGCCTAGGATGAATAGAATTGTAGAGGCAAACTTGATGCAGGTAAAGACACCAGAAGCCATGAGAGCGGCATTCTGGCCGACGTAGCCAATCTGAGCAAAGACCGTAGGTCCATAGTAGAGAATTGCATTGTGGCCACACCACATGGCAAAAAGACCGACTCCTAGTGCCCACAGCAGTCGAATGAAGTTGTGTAGCTCGAAGACTTCACGGATGCTCCGGCCCTGGGTGGCAGCGACTTCTTCCTGGATCTGTGCGCGAATCTCCGCCATCTCATCCGCGATTTCGGCAGAGTTAGCTGGTGCGCCACGAAGGTAGGCCAGAGTGTTGCTAGCTTCCTGGTATCGATCTTGCTTAGCGAGCCATCGGGGCGATTCGGGAATAAAGAACGACGATATAATGACCAAGGCTGCGAGAATGATCTGTAGCGACAGTGGTATCCGCCATTGCTTGGATTCCACCGGCAGATGAACAGAGCATCCGTACGTCGTCCAGTAAGCTAACATGCCTCCACTCACGAGGAACATCTCGAAAAGAGACATCATAGGACCACGGAGCTCCTTAGGGGCGCATTCGGCCACGAAGACTGGCGCCACGTTGGAGATCATGCCAACTCCTAGACCTGCGACCACCCGCCCGCCATAGATCATACCCAGCGATGGTCCTTGAGCTGCGGTCTGCAAGATACCGCCGAGAAGAAAGAAGACACCAGCGATGGCAAGCAGCACTTTGCGGCCGACGAATTTGCTAGCCAAGGGTGGAGCCAAGGCACCGAAGAAGGCGCCTGCGTTGAGCAACGTAACGACGTTGGAGGAAGCATTGGCATAGACAGACTTAGAAGCCAGAAGATTGAAGTCTTTTTTGAAGCTGCCGAGAGCGACAACGCCGCCAGCAACACCTGTGTCGAAACCGAATAGACACGCGCCTATATTGACCGCGGCCGAGACGCCGACGGCAGCCTTATGCTTTTTCACTGTCTCAAAGATCGACATCGTGGGCTGTGTTGTCATCGCTGATTGAGAAGGATGCTGAAAAAACTAAATCGAGGACAATGACCACATCACCGTATCCATCGGGCTGGGATCGCGATGTAGATTAAATGCACAGATTTACACATTTGTCAACTCTCCATATCATGGGCCTTAGACTACATTGGCATCGTGGATAAAAAGACCCACTGATATCTTTGGAGCGCATGGTAATTAGTCCTTGACAGCTCGCCGCAAGATAACAGGTTGAGAGCCAGCGCGCTTGGAATGATAGCGGATCGTTCTCCGGGTCGCACCAATCCCAAAACCAATCATTAGTGCTGTCTACTCCCCATGGAGAAATGATTTCCCTTCCGGAACACCTTCAGATTCATCTCATACGCAAGGAGGCTGACATATTCTTGCGTATGTCTTATCTCCAAGGCAGTGGCTCGACTGGACAGTCGCGTAAGGGGCAAGGGGAAATGGGACCTGATTCGCCCCAGCTGAATGGCGCCGTAGCTTCACCCCGGCTCCGGCCCGTGATAAGGATATGTTGCGGGGCTTGAGGAAAATGGGTTAACGAGATCTCCGAGCTTGATTGGTCGGAAGACATCCGGAGGGTTGATAGAGGATAAGCACTGACACGCGAGCACCACTACTGGCTGGGCCGAATGTAATCTGGCTGCTGGCAAGAGCAACATCTCAATTACTAGCAGCTGACTGAAAGCTTGCATTCAGCTTGAGTAGGTAGACGAGGCCAATGGACTATCGCAGCTGACCCAGTTCTCCTAATTCGAAGTGTAGAGGTGCAAGCAGTTGGGAGGAATCCATCATGTCCTCCTCTACAAGGTTGCCTACGGACATCGAGCGGTGCGTCGGCGCGAAGATCCTTACAATATCCAACATCATTATCACGAACCATGGAAGAACATCAATCATACGCGCTCAACGTGCATTTAACACAAGCTCATCGGGGATTCTCAATCGAGCCGCAAACTTTGCACCGCCTGCACTCCTCGTTCTCTTGCCAGTTTCGAATCAATGGCTTTAGTTGCGTGCCTAAATCCTCACAGTGGAACACCTCCTCCCGGATGATGGTGAGCTCCTCGTGATTCCCCTTTGTGCAATACCACCGCAGTTTGTCTACTGAATCGACTGGTCGCTTGCGCTCCATCACAAGACCTGTGGTATCTGCAAAACGGATGGGATTGTGCGGCGTGTTGCCTGCACAAAGACGGACTTTTAGTGGAGGAGGCGCTAAATATTATGCGTGAACATACCTGGTAGAAGGAACATTTCGCCTTCCTTGATATGCACGTCCCTGAAGGCCCCGTTTTCGACGATCCTGAGAAGCATCGCGCCCTTGAGTTGGTAGAACCATTCCTCCGTTTCGTTCACTAATTTACAGCTCAGCTACAATATTAGAATTATAAGCGCTGTAGTAGCTACACACCGTGGAAGTCATTCCTCTCGTTTGGGCCGCCAACGACCATTAAAATAAAGTCATTGCCGCTGTACAAGCAATAATTGTTGACTGGTGGTTGAAGCTTCTCTGAATTCGCTCCTAGCCAGGAGGCGAATGCGAGTGGCGGCGGGATGGTACCTGAAGCTGTAATCTCCGCCATGGTAGGCGCTGTATTTTACAATCGAATATTGTTAGTGGGCGGCCCTTGAATTGAGAACGAAGACGCGCTCTCTCCCACGTCTGCGCGTAATGGTTTGTCTATTTACGAAACTTCAAGTCGTTTCTTTTGGGCATAATAGCCGCTTACTTGTCATTACTTCTCCTTCAATCAGTTCCTTGATTGCCATGCATACTGTGGTGTTCATGTGACGCTCATATGCGGAAGCTAAGGTGCGGAAGGCGGAAGATAGAAAGGGGTCCGAGGGTTCGGTCCGGGACCCGGATGTTGAACTTCCCCCGCAAATCTCGTTCGGATGTGTTCACTTATACGGATCCGCATCCTATCCAAGCCAACCACTACTACCGACTTGGCAGGAGATGCCTCCAATACGTGGAGAGACGTCACCGTGCTTACACCGAGCTTTGGTGGAAATGCATTGTTTCGGATGCGAAATGCTCGCGTTTCTTGAATGCTTCAATTTTACAGGGGGCGGACTGTGACATGTGACGGTCATCCTTTCCTACATAACAATTCTTGCACTTCAATTGCCAGTAGTAGGACCACAAGTCACCCCTTCACAGAACTCGACACAATGCGATCACCGCACTCGAGAGACACGAGCAACGGCTGCGGTTGTTGCTGTCATGCCGACCGTCTGGCAACCACACCGCCCCTGACGCCAGGACCTACCGATGACGGCTCATCTCTATACCGTATCGACATTCACACACATATTATGCCATCTTCTTTCCCAGATCTGAGTTCTTTCCACACAGACTCCCCTTCCAATCCGTGGCCAAACCTGAGGCCGTCCAAAAATGGCGAGCCAGGGCAGATAGACATGTTTATTGGGGACACGTTTTTCCGCACAGTGGAGCCTAACTGCATCGATGCCGAGGAACGCATCAGGGAGATGGACAAGGCCGGAGTCGATGTTCAGGTGCTCAGTACAGTCCCGATTCTCTTCTTCTATGACGAACCTGCGGAGCCCGTTACAATTATGGCCAAAGCCCTGAACGACCACATCGCGGAGGTGTGTACTAAGCATCCAGACAGATTTGTCGGCTTAGCCACCGTGCCGCTCCAGGATATTTCAGCATCTGTAGAAGAGTTGAAGAGGGCAGAGCAGCTGGGACTAAAGGGGGTCGAAATTGGGACGACTATTGGAGACGTGAACCTGGATGATCCTGTTCTGGAACCTTTCTGGAATGCCTGCGAGGAGTTGAACATGCCCGTTTTTGTGCATCCACTAGGATACTCGTTGTGCAAAGAGAACAAGAAGAGATGGACTAAGTACTGGAGCTCCTGGCTCGTTGGTATGCCATCTGAGACGGCACTGTCAATCCTCGCCATCACTTCGTCTGGAGTACTGCTCAGACATCCCGATCTAAGACTGTGTTTTGCCCATGCAGGAGGTGCCTTCCCTGCTCTCTTGGGCAGAATCCAGCACGGATATGACTGTCGTCCTGATCTAGTGGCTATAGATGCGGGAGGCGTTAGTCCCACGGAGCACACCACGAAGGGCGGCTTCTGGGTTGATTCATTGGTGCATGATCCTGATCTGCTCGAGTTCTTATGCAAAAAGATTGGCACAGACAGGATCGCCATGGGTAGCGATTATCCCTTCCCTCTCGGTGGTAAGTGTCCTCTCGTCATTTTGGACTTGGACGCCTGCTAACACGGCAAACGATAGAGGTTCCAGTTGCAGGAAAGATGCTGTGTACTAATGACAAGTTATCGAAATTTCTAAACTGGGACGAAAGGGCTAACATGCTTGCTGGAAATGCAATTCGACTCTTCAATATGGGTCGGAATTTCGAACAAGCCTTTCAAGAGAGACTGAAGGCGTTCAAATTTGGCGACATGAGACACCATGATTAATTTGAGTCCCAACGGAAATCTCTATGTCGGATAGTTTATGATTAATGATGTCAATGTCTCGGAAACGTTTGGTTGAAAATAGCCTTGTATATTACAGTATCTGTGAACTTTAGAAGAATGAGTTTTGCAAGCCATTGGCATCTGTAGAGAAGAATCCCATCCCTGATGTGCTGAAGTCCATGTCAGAAAGATTGCCGACATAGGGATTGTGGATATGGAAACTCGGACTGATAGCCCCCAAGAAATTGCCAATCGTGTCGTCAAAGTATGTGTCTTCGAGCTGTGGAGTCGGGAAAGGCTGCTGGGCCCCTGGAGATTCTAACCCAGTGTCCATGCCAACAAGGGAGAATTGAGCATTGGATGACTGTAAAGGGGTGCTTTTCGCCTTGTCTTTATCCCTAGATTGTAGGGAGGACGAAGATGTCAGCGTCTCGGGAGTTGGCATCTCTGGAGCAGTCAGCCTCATTCGCTTTGCTTCTCTCCCTCCCAATTTTGACACACTGGCAAGGCGCTTCTTAAGTGTGGATCTGCTGGTAAAGCGGGTATCGTGGTCGCAGTTGAATGGACAGTTGCCTCCACGATGGCCCTGCAGGACGTAGAATAATGTAAAATCGAGATATTCTTCCACAGTCACACGACATTTCCGAGCCCCTTTCCAAAAGCCTTCCAGACTGCGAAGCTCCTGCATAGCTTGCTCCACGTCTCTTAGAGCGGAGTACACAAACTGAGGCTCCTCCGACCGCCGAATGCATTGTAGGAGGACAATGGCACTGACAAAAACGTATTGGCCGTGAAAGACGACGTAGTGGCTCCGAGGAACGCTTTGAAAGAACTCGCATGTCTCCCGTATACAATCGGTTGCTGCTTTGGCGCTTTTGAGCTGTGCTTGAGATTCTGCCAAAGGACTGGGTCGATGGGGATTGCTCATGAAGACTCTGTGAAGAAGCATTACAGCAGAGAAGAATGATGACAACGCAACGTGTTTCTCCGCCAACAGTTTGCCCGTCTTCGCGGTCTTGATCTGAGGCGGAACCATATCCTTAGCCCAAGTCTGTAGCGACTCATTTGCTTCGCGCACTCGAGTCCGCAGTTCGTCAATCTTGCCCTCGTTCCTCCAGGCATCGGCATTCTTGACCGAGTTGACAAGTTTCAAGATTTGTCCAATAATGCGATGCAGGTGGATCATGCCTGTAAACCCGGCCAACTCGTTCTCTTGGGCATCGTCATTCATGAGCGACGGTACCTCCGTATCGCAATCTTGGTCATCGATGCACAAAGGCCTGCCGAGGGCAGTACAGAGCTGCCGTTCAAGGATATACAAACACCACCAGATGTACCTCCGCTTATTGCGCTCTTCCATAGGTAATCGAAGTCTTTCAGGAGAACGATGCAGGCCCAAGTCTTGAGCATTACGGATTGCTCGACCGACCGAGATCCATGCCTCGGCCTGGGAACCCGTCTGTGCCAGATACATGCTGAGCAAGCCTAGGGCGACAACAATGTCTTGGCTCCTCCCCTTGCGCTCGAGCTTTCCGCGAAACGGCATGTTTACATACTGCATTGCCTCGTTGTAGAAAGAGGCGCCTAGATGCGCTGATCGCCATTTCGGATCTATGTTATCTAAGGCATTATGGTTGGGAGGCAGTAGTGGAGCTGAGACAGCGAGTAGAGCGTAGAAGATTGCCGCATATCCAGGGTCTCTCTCTGGCTGAGCTATCAACGTGCCATGTATCTGCCTAACATCACGCTCCGTTGTAATTGGGAATAGAAATGCCAACTCCTTCGCATAAATGCTGATCAATGCTTCTACCAAAACCGGTGGAGGTAAGTCATTCGTCGACATGAGGCACGATGGTGATGCTGCGGGCCCGTCGAAGTGTGTGGCTTCCGGGCTGGCGAAAAATGGCTCTTCAGGTTCGTAGCCCTTTTCCTCCAGGAGATGATTGATATGCCGACGAAGGCCAACGCAGTGATCCACGACAGAGGCAGTCGACCCGAGGCCGACATATCTCAACTGACCGTAAGTATCGGCGTCCAACTCGCCGAAGCCATCAGCATAACAGCTGCCACCATCAGCGACTTGATCCGGCTCTTCCATTGATCTTTCATGATCCGCTTCTATATCTAATATCAGCTCGGCTTGGTCGTCGTTCCTGGTATGATCGGCGTTTGTGGGGACCGGAACGTTTACTTCAGCTGCATCGGCTTCCGCAGCATCTAGCAGCTGCTGTATCTTGTTCGCGTTAGGGTTAGGACATGTTATCTGTACAGTCGTTTCGGCTCCGGGAGCAACGAAACTTGGTGATGATCCAGTGGGTATGTCTGGTGGGCTTGCGCAGGTCGGTGAGCCATTGGGTGGGCGTCTTGCAGTGCCAAACTGCTCAATCAGCGAACGAAGCATCTGCTCCATAGATTCAACGCGCGCAGAGAGCTTTTCTACATGGCTACGACAGGATTAGCCATGAGAGAACTTAGGTACGTACTCAATGAGAGATCGCAAACCTGGTGTCAAAGGTGGGAGTATTACGAATACCCGAGTCGCCGTATTCGCAATTGATGCTGAACGAAGTGCATCTGGCGCAAGGTTCGGCCCCATTGCATTTCACCTGATTTGAACTGTTAGTCAAATTGATTAGCTACACATGTAATTGATGATACCTTTTTGACTCGGCATTCAATGCATGCGCGTCTCACTCTCTGCCTTTCATTTGTATGGTGTCCATGCGATTCTCGGGGTAGACTTGCAGCCGGATTTCGAGGCGCCAGCGGCCTGGGAGCCTGTGGCATGGCTTCGGCGTACGATCCGGGCCCTGACATGGTCGTGATTGAGAGAGGAAACACAATGACAGTTCCTCAGAAGCCCGCGAACGATCCTTCGGGCAAGAGACAACTGAATTGTCTTTTCCTATAGAAACGAAGACGGTAATTTGTGAAGTGTGGTTCAAAGAAAAATGACGAATAGAAGTCCCCCGGTCCGGGACAAAGTCAGGTCGCAAATTTAGCGCAAATCTCATAAGTAACCTTGCACCATCAGCGCAGTCCAGCGGGGTAAATCAAAGAGAAACCAGCGCTATGAGGCCTTATCAGCAAGCCAAGGACGCCTGACACTGCAGTGCCAAATTCAGATGTGACTGGTGACGTGACCTCAGTTTACGCAAAAGGAAAGTATTCTGTGCATTTGAATCGATCCAGTTCAATGGCATTGCTTTCGCTTCCTGATGTTCAATCCAATGTTCTATGAGAATTCGTAGCTGAAGATATGCTTGACGGCTTTGGACAGGGCGCCCGGCGGACACCGACGTGAGCAAAGATAACCGTGGCGATTAAACTAGTGCTGTGTTTTGATGACAAGCTAGATTACAGCGTCCCGACATTTTGTTTCTGTTTATCCATCTGCCTCTGTTTACTCTTTCGACCTCCAAAAGCCTAGAGTCACCTGCATCGGCTTGTCTGAGAAGTTGAACAAGTACGCATCTTCGCCCTCAGCAAAGATCTGGTACCTGTTCCACGGAGGAATGCAGAAGCTGTCTCCCTTGCCCCATCGCAATGTGCTGACCTCGCCCTTTGGCGAAGTGACTTCTGTGTATCCTTGGCCGGCATGTACCTGGAAGATGTTGCCCGCCGTCTCTTGTACCGCCTTGCCCTTCTTGCCAGCGGCGATCCGATGCGCATAAGCGCCAACTGTGGTTGACACCGGTCTGCCGTTAGGAAGTAAATACTCGACAGTGGAGTAGTCTCCTCCTTGGGCATCGAGCCGCGCCTGAGTCTTGATCCAAGGGAACTTCATGTCGGCAGCCTCAGCATCAGACACGACCTTTGACTCATGAGTGTCGACGCCGTACACTTCCTCTGTCTTGTGTCAGCCAACTGTCTTTTTCCTTATCACGCGTCTGAGGGACTTACCGTAATGCTCCGTGAAATCAACGGGAAGATGCTTAAAGAGCGGGATATTCAATCCGTCGAGCCAGATCACATTGTTGGTGCCCTCATTGCCATGATCGTGCCAATTCCAGGAAGGCGTAATGATAAGGTCTCCAGGCTTCATGAACATCTTCTTGCCAGAGATCGCCGTGTATCCTAGATTTCCATTAGTGCCTGACCTAGAAGGACGAATCCTTGAAACGTACCTGCATCGCCTTCGATCAAGAACCGCACTGCAAATGGTGTATGGCGATGGCACACGGCCTTTTCACCAGGTAGGATGAGCTGATGAGCGGCAAGTATAGCATCTAGGGTGAACGGGGGCTGTTTTGGGCCAGGGTTGATCATGAGGACCGCCCTCCTCTCCGCCTCCCTCGCATCGACGAGCTCTGCCGCGCGAAGCAGAAGGCTCTTCGTATCGTCGTACTTCCAAACGGCGGGGATGTGCCTGCTGTGAGGTTCCAGAGAGGTCGGTGGTCCACCAGTGTTCCACAAGGGAACAAGCTCCTTATCACGAATGGCCTTCTCCAACCCAGCTTTATCATCCACCGAGATCTTCAGCTTGCTATAGAAGCCTTGTCTCGATGTCTCAACGGGCAATTCAGCAATTGAAGGAGCCATTTTGAATTGATCTTCGTGAGCTCTGGTTAAGAATAGCTCTAGTTAAGAATCACTTTGGTGGGTTGACAGTGAAGCCTAGGATAGAAGGTGGTAGATATAATCAGAGTGAAGCTCTAGAGATCTGTCCAGCAAACAAATCAGAAAACTTCAACCCTCGGACGAGAACGTAAAACCGAGCCAGGGACAGTACAATGATTCAAATGTCATTGAATGATTCACGGCTGGTACGTGAGGTTGGAACGAGATCCCCCGGGGTTTATCTAAGAGTATGGACTTTGATTGGTCAAATGAGCCGGCCCGGTATCCGGAACGGCCAAACACACCAGCTTTGGTCAGGGGTTCATATCACTCAACAGCCTCTATCTCAGAGTCGGGGGCGAATACAAGCGGCGCTTGTACTCATGGCCAACTGTGTCACCAGGATTAGAAATCGTCTTTTGCCTTAGCGGTCTCATGGTTATAGAGGGATAGCAGATCATAGCAACTAGGAAGACTGCGCCTGGCTTCGCTCTTGAGGTAATAAAGCATGAACATTAATTTCTGCACGTACAATTGTATCAAATCATTGGGAAGTCAACCTTTGTTGATTTTCAATTTGATTCAGGATAACATAGCTTTTATGCTTCTAATACATGGGTCTATTGGGCTACTCTAACTTGACGACTTCAACTGATATTGTCTCTCAAAAAACCCGAACTTGCAGGCTTACAAAAATGGGGATCGCAAGGCCGTCTCGGGCGCTGATCTTGCACCGATGACTGGGGAGTCTTCCGTGAGCTGGTCCCACTCGTGTGCAACCAAGGCCGCTGCACGACTCTTCAGAACCGCCGTATGGGTTCGAGGCCTCATCTCACCCTCGTATTGATCAATCGCCAACTTCTGATTGATCTCCCCCTTGTGAATCTTCTTAAGCTGATCCACTAGCAAAGCAGCATCTAGGATTCCGTGATTTGCTCCCTCGCCTGTAGATGTAGGGTCAGCGTGGGTGTGTCGGATACCTGAAACTGCAATAACGTACCTCGATACATGGTCATCGCGTGAGCACTATCACCAGCCAGAGTGACGCGACCACCCTTGTTGTCCCAGTCTCTGCACGGGAAGTCACCAAGCCTCAGGGGGGTTGTGAAATCAAGATCATCCGGGATATCCATAACGATGCTTCGCAGTGGCTCGGCGAATCCAGCGGCTCGTTTCTTCATCATGGCAATGCGCTCCGGGTTCGTCTTGGGTATGGCATCCTTGACTGGATCTTTCATGATCCACGAGATGATCACTAGCGCATCATAGTTAATCCTCCCGTCAGGCTCCTCGTTGACTTCCTGGAGCACCGTCAGCGATATATGTAAACGTATCGTGTTTTGTTGAGCTTACCTGGATGCTATACCAAAGGTAGTCCGCCGTCTTTGGGTGCAGCCCCTGAAACAGCAGGGGATCGAGCTTCCGGATCGGCTCTCCTTGGTCTGCGGTGAAGTGCCTAATGACACCCACAAGATGAACGGGCAAGAGTGTCAGAGCATGGTCGTCAGGCAAAAGGTGCTTTCTGACGTTGCTGTTGTTGCCATCTGCGCCAATGAGAATCGTTCCATCCGCGAACGTGCCGTCCGCAAAGTGCGCCCTGACGCCGCCCTCGATGTCCTCGACTCTGGTCAGTTTCTTGCCCTCTTGCACGTTGACGCCGTCTGCTAGCACGTTCCTCAGCTTCTGGCGGTGTAATCGAAGACGTCTCTTGGATGGCGGGATCTTGTAGAGGGTTTCCCTGGACACGCGTATGTGTAAGTCAATGCCTTCACCTTCACTCGCTCGTGTACATCAACTCACGCAGTCTCGCAGTTCAGGAACAAGAAGTTTCCAGCGTCCTTCTTCAGTGTTCGATCTACTACGGCCTATTCACAGTTAGGATCTGGGCACGGAAGCATTTTGCACCTTTCAAACTCACGCCTGGTAGTTTGGCAGCCCTCTCGGGTCCAATGGTCCTTTCTAGAGCATCCAAGCACCAATGAAGAGTCAAGGCCCATCCTTGGCTGCGGCTTCCTATCAGGCCATTAGGTCTCCTCAATTCTAGCATTTCTGAGTGGTTGGCCAACCTTCCGTATCCCTCTCAAACAGCGTGTACGGAATACCATTCTCCCGGCATCCCTGGGCAATTGTCAGACCAACAATTCCGCCTCCAGCAATCAGTACATGCATCGGCCTCTCGGTCGACGAAGTCGGCGGCGCAGATGAGAATTGGGAGCCCATGTCTGACCGAATCGAGCCTTGCTTAGGAGGATTGGATCGCAAGATACAAGAAGGTAATATTTGAACGACGCGCAAAACCTACGTCGCTTTGACCTCAGCTCTTTTCAAAAGCAAACCGCGTCGCGAGTCTCAAGCTCCAAGCATGAGGCCAGCGATGCTCATTTGATAGGTGCTGTGATTGCTTCTTCTACGGCGATCACCCCCACCACAAACCTGCCATTCCGGGCCGGCCGCTTCCACCCGCACACACCACACCACACAGGAACTTAACGTTATCGTCGACCTCTGCCAGATTGACTAGCTGCGGGAGGTTATCAATAAGTCGGCCTTCACTGGAGGGTAGGCCGGACCGGCGCATCCGGCCAATCTCTTGTCTTCCCACGCAAGGGGCGCCCAGGAACAGGAGGGAACCCCTAATCGCATGCGGATCTACTCAGGCTCCCCACCCAGAACCCACTGGTCAAGCAGCATGATGTGCATTACCCGAGGTTTTGGGTTCGATGACAAAGCCAGTGCGAAGACGCTCGCTGCTGGACTAAACGCCAAGCCGACGGAACGCCAACATGCTTAGCAAAGCATGAGGATGAGCTTTCGTAAGGTGGACACCGTGGGACTTCTGTCCCCAAGACCCCAAGACTAGATCCGAAAGCCCAGGGCAAGCAGCATTAGAGGCCGACAAGCTCCATCCGTCAAGCGCTATGGCGTTTGCGCGATCCACCAGCACCGGCTGGTGGCCGTCTGCGCATGCTCTGGGCTCGTTGCGGTCATGTCATGACAAAACGAGGAGTTGCAGTTGTATTATTCTCAAGGTCGATACAGTTCAATAACGTCTCGTTACTTTCCTTCTATACTTGAAATCAAGCAGTCTTTCACAATGAGAGCCGTCCAGTTCAGTGAGACCGGAGCTTCGAGTGTCCTCCAAGTCGTCGACATCCCCAAGCCTATCGCCAAGCCCCACGAGGTGCTCATCAAGGTCGAGTACGCAGGCGTCAACTTCGTCGACACGTACTTGCGCTCCGGGCTCTACGCAACGGCCCTGCCGTCGACCGTGGGCCGCGAGGGCGCCGGAGTCCTCGAGCAGGTCGGCAGCGCTGTTCCTCCGGAGTACGGCCTGCAAGCCGGTGACAAGGTCGCGGTGTTCGCGCCGGGCTCGACCGCCGAGTACATGACGGCGGACGCGAAGACGGTGCTCAAGCTGCCGGCGAACGTCTCGACGCGCGAGGGTGCCGCCATCGTGCTGCAGGGCCTGACGGCGTGGACGCTGGCCCGTGACGCGCACGATCTCAAGGCCGGCGAGGTGGCGCTCGTGCAGGCGGCGGCAGGAGGCACGGGCGGGCTGCTGGTGCAGATGTGCAAGGCACTCGGGGCGACGGTCATTGGGACGACGTCGACGCCTGAGAAGGTCGAGGTTGCAAAGGGGCACGGATGTGACTACGTAATTAATTATTCGACACACAATGTCGAGGAGGAAGTCCTGAAGATTACAGAGGGACAGGGCTGCCATGCTGTGTTCTCGGGCATTGGCAAGGATACTTTCCAGACAGACATGAGCCTCACTAGGAGGAAGGGCACGTTCGTCACGTTTGGCAACTCGAGCGGCGCCATTGATGCCGTCAAGCCGCTGGATCTGAGCAAGAAGAACATCAAATTGGTGCGGCCGACGCTGGCCAACTACATTACCACTCGGGAAGAGTTTGTGACGAGAAGCACAGAGCTCATGGACCTGGTGGCAAAGGGGACGGTCAAGGTCAACATTGGCGGCGAGTACAGCTTGGCCGAGGTGGCCATGGCACAGGATGATTTGGTGAGCAAGAAGACGGTGGGCAAGCTCGTTGTCAAGATATAGACCAGTGCACAAAAAATGAAAAGACACCGCAAGCTTTTTGGCATGTAATTCATAATGGATTACTCTCTGATATCTCATTGCTTTTCCGGATACAGAGCTGTGCACTTGATCTCGACATTCAGCCTCTCGTTCGGCAGCGCCGCGACCTGGACACATGTCCTTGCAGGCGCCTTTGTCCTGTCGGGCCAGATCTTGTTCCACTCCTCATTCATGCCCCCGTAGTCCTTCATGTCCGTCAGGAAGACTGTAGCGTCCAGGATGCTCTCCAGGCCTGCGGCTCCCTCTGTTGCCCCCTTGAGGATGGTGTCAATGTTCTTGAGCACGGCGGCTGTCTGCTCCCGGACGTTGAGTGTGTGTTTTCCCTCGGCGTCCGTGACACAGCCGGCGTAGGTGCCGTCGGCGCGGCGTGATGAGGTTCCTGAGACGAGGATGGTCTTTGGGTTGCCAGGGACAATTCTTGCGTGCGGGTAGTTGGCAAGGCCTTGGGCGCCGCCCGTGAGGAGGAAGGCTTCGCCGTTGGGAGATGCCATTGCGGGTGAGCTCCGGGGATTGAAGCGAGAGGCGGTATGTTAGGGGGATGGTAACGTTATACCGAGCCGTATGCGCAGGCCGTTTTCACTTGGTCAGTATCCCCAATTGTCGCGAGTTTTATTCAATTGAGATGCTCAATCGAAACTCCTCGTGGATCACAACTACCGGTACTAAACAGGCCGCTCTACCGTGCTTCAGCGTTTGGATACCTAGCTATTCCGATCATCGACCTATAGCTCTATCACTTAGCTTAGATAGCTTCGTGGGTACCTGGGTAGTCTCTAAGCCGCAGCGGCATCGGCTGCGTACAGGCGAGAGTTGCTGTTGCTGCACGATCGGATGCGCCGACCGAGCGGATGTTGCGTTCGGGTAGCGGAAGCCGCACTAGCTACGCCCCTAAACCCCCACCTGTGTTTTGATTACGTAGGGACCTTCATGGGCAGGATGACCCCGCCAAAGTACCCCTCCTCATCCTCAGTGATCTGCCCCTCGCTGTCAAGAATCTCCTAGGTGAGGCATCCTGGAAAATTGGCGATTACTGCATAGTACTTCTGCTCGAAAGGCTCCTTTTGCCTGGTTCAATCGGTATTTTAGGTATGATAGAAATGAAGATATATACCTACACCTACGCCTATTCAGTAGCAAATTCGAGGATCCGCTTAGCGACTAGACTTCCAGGCAGGCCAATCTCGAGCGTGTTGGAGATGTGGTTGTGGCCCCGCATGACCTCGAACAGCGGCAATCGTCGGAACTTCTTCCTGTGCTCGTCCACAAACGCCAAGTTGCCGTCCACAATCTCGTTCGAGTCCAGCTCCGCGACCATTAGCAGCAGATTCAGGCCCTGCAGGTCTTCCTCTTTGGCCTCTCTAAACACTGACACCGCTGTCTTGCCCATCACCTCCTCCTCCGTCTCTGTGGCGTGGTACAGGAACATGTTCTGACGCCGCCGCTCCTGGCGCAGGTCGTAGGACATGGGCGGGCTCAGCAGCATCAACGCCTTCAGACTCAGCTCCGCCTTCTTCATGAGCCCGCTGAAGGCTGCGTTTGCGAGGTGTGCTCCTCCCGCCGACTGCCCTACTGCCGTGATCTTGCTGCTGTCGCCGCCGTACTGGCCGGCATGGTCCTGCACCCACTTGAGCGCTGCCGTCGTGTCCTCGCCGCCCGAGGGGTAGCGGGCTTCCGGCAGGAGGCGATATGTTCCGAGGAAGCACACGCATCCGTTGCTGGCGAAGAAGTTTCCTGGCGGTGGCGGTGGTGGTCAGCAAAGGCCACTGTCTGTCTGTCTCCTTGATTTCGAGCGTATTCCAAGTCAAGTCTCACCAATATTACCGTGCATCGACGGCGTAATGTCATTGTCGCCCGATGTAAAGCCGCCTCCGTGGAAGAACACCACCACCGGCAGCGGTTTGGGTTTGTCTGACGATGCCGTGGGCTTGTAGACATCTAACCGGTGCCGAGAATGTGTCCCATACTTGATGCCCTTTTCCACTGACACTGAATCCGTGAATTGTGATGCTTGTGCTGCGTGAAGCGGCTCGTAGAGCTCGTTCATGTCCTTGTTCGTCTGCAGCGACCAGACATTCCCATGTTTAGCAATGCTCGCCTTGATTGCCTCCATTGCCAGCGCGTCGTTCGATTCTCTCGATATCCACGGACACAATACCTACAGTAGGTACGAGCGAGTACCGTATTCCCCCCTATATCTGGGCGTAGAGCACCTCGACGACCGCCCAAGGCCCCTGTCCTCTCAGGTCAAGGATAGCTAGAACAGGAGCCAGCTCCCCACCAACTGTACTCGAGTGATCGCTGCACTGTGTGTTCTCTTGGTGGTGCTCGGCAAGGGGCCTGGAAGTTCGGATCGAGCGATTCGGCCAATCACTCATCTTCCCACATCCGATTCCGTCAGCTGTCCGCTCTGACTTACAGTACGCTACAGTGCTTAAACACCCCCCCCTGTCGCAACACCTTCCGAGCGGTCATCTCCACGACTCTCGGCTGCCATGCCGGCCGGTACTCACATGGAATGAAATATCACGACGCCCAAAGGAGCTCTGTTGACGACGCCTCATCTCGAGACTTGCTGAGCCGCCCCGGTTTCAGTCACAAGCAGCAATATTGTGCTCTGCAGCACAGTCGCTCCAACATGGGCTCTGTATCCGCCGACGGGCGCTCCCCGACCCTGGAGCAGGTGTGGGCATGCGACACCATAGAAAAGGCAGAAGCACTCATCAAATCGCAACAGGCGCAAGAGAGGCCGGGATTTACGCTAGACAACTATGTTGCAAACTCGTTTGATCGGTTTTCGGGGGGTGGCAAAAGCCTGCCGGCAATCAACCCAAAGACGGGCAAGGTTTTTGCGCAGGTGCCAGTGAGCAGCGCGGGCGAGGTCGAGAAGGCACTGCAGGCCGCCACGGCAGCGTTCAAGTCATGGAGCAAGACGCCCGCACCGGTGAGGTCGAAGTATCTACAACGGGTGTCGCAGTTGATCCAGGAGAACAAAGAGCTGTTTGCGGTATGGGAAAGCATAGACCAGGGAAAGACGCTGGCGAGAGCGCGGGTGGAAGTAGACCGGGCGGTATCAAACTTCAGGTAGGACACCTTCACGCCAGGCATGGACGTTCTAGTAATCAGCCCAGCGCTGACCAGATAACAGCTACTTCTCAACATTCATCCTACATCAAGAAACAAAAGCCCGCATGATTGACGGAGTGGCACTCACTTACGAGCACCGCTCCCCGGCTGGCGTCTTCGCGCTCATCTCCCCGTGGAACATGCCTCTTTACCTCCTAACCTGGAAGATAGCGCCCTGCCTCGCCTTCGGGTGCACAGCGGTTGCGAAGCCGTCCGAGGTCACCTCGATGTCGGCATTCCTGCTATGTGAGGTACTCAGGCAGGCCGAGATACCATCTGGCGTCATCAACATTGTATTTGGGGATGGGCCAACAACGGGGTCGGCGCTGGTGAAAAGCCCACTTGTCAAAGGTGTGTCGTTTACGGGAGGCACCGCAACAGGCGTACAGATCAGGAGAGACACGGCGGATCAGATATATAAGCACCTCTCGCTCGAACTAGGAGGGAAGAACCCTACGCTGGTATTCGATGACGTGGATATGGACAAGGCGGTGCAAACGGCGGCAACCGCTGCGTTCGAGAACCAGGGCGAGGCATGTTGATCTCCCTGTCCGCGATTTGTCCGTACTGATGATTGTGCCCTAGATCTGCCTGTGTGGCTCTCGCATCTATGTACAATCTTCGATATACGACAGATTTGTCGCCGCTTTCACGTCATATGTGACTGCTAACTTCAAGCTTGGCGAGAGAGTTGGCGCCGTCGTCTCACTACCACACTATCGGAAGATCCGATCCTATCTACAGCTAGCGGAAGAAGAGAAGGCTACGTTTCTCACGGGAGCAACCCCGCCAGAAGATCCGAAGGAAGGGTTATGGATCGAGCCCGTAATATTGACAGGCGTTTCGACGTCCTCACGGATCATGCGAGAGGAGATTTTCGGACCGGTAGTAACTATCGCAAAGTTCGATACAGAGGAGGAAGCCATCGACCTTGCAAATGACAACCCTAATGGTTTGGCAGCCGTATTGCTGACTAAAGACGGGGCGAGGATACGGCGGGTGGGAGAACAGATCGAGGCCGGCCTGGTGTGGGTGAACTGCTGGCTTGTAAGAGAGCTTGGCACTCCATTTGGCGGGATGAAGAACTCTGGAACTGGACGTGAAGGTGGGGAGTACAGCAGAGAGGTCTTCACGGTGGTTAGGACACTGCACATACCTGTATAGGGTGAATTATGGTGTAACTATAAGATATCATACGCTTGGTGTGATCAGACTTTCGATTGTCATAAGGACTCGATCGGCAGTGCACCCACCCTACATGGCAACTGCCAGCAGTTGCATATACACCAAGGTTGATCGGATTAATTGTATCACTTTTGCAACTTCCCTCTGAGAATGCGAGCTCAGACCTATCGACATGGAAAACGTAATCGAGCTTTGCTTTTCTGATCATCGTTCTTCGAGACGTTTCTCTGCCTGCACTTGTGAAGCCACACCCGCTGCCACAAATGACCCCATGCACATGGCCATCGAGACAGCTCTCATTGGAGTTGCCACGTCGCCAGCGGCAAATACACCACTAACGCTAGTCTCGTTAAATGGCGGATTGACTTTGACCTCGCCTTGTGGTCCAATATCAAGGCCCAGCTGAGAAACGAATGGCCCATTCAGCTCCGCCAGAGGAGCATGCGACTATTTAACTTAGTTTTAGTACTTTGCAAGCGATTAAGGGCTAGAACGTACAATGAAGCTTTCTGTCTTCTGTGTGCCATCCTCAAGTGTGACAACTACATCTGCCGAGTCAGAATCCGGGGATGCCATGGCCATTTTCTTGATCTTCCGTGATTCGACCGTAATCATACTTGATGGCGGCTTCAGCGCAGTTGTGATATTTGCCGCTGTGCTTTCGTCGCCATTTGTATAGATTGTCAGGGTTTTGGCGAGCTGTAGGGCCATGTTACCAACATGCAACGCCATGGTTGGATTGGACATCAGGTCGATTGCAAGGAGGCCAGCAGATTCGCCCCCTCGCTCTTCGAAACCGTGACAAAAGAGACAGTGGAAGATGCCGCGCGCCCAACAATCACCAAAACCTTCGATGTTTGGCATGATATCCTTGATACCGCTTGCTAGTACAAGCTTCTTTCCCTGGAAAACGTTGCCCTCCTCATCGCGAGCAGAGAATTGGCCGTTGTCGAGCTTCTTAACCTCTGTTATGTTGGCAGATTGAAACTGTACAGTATCATATCGTCGTAACAAATCAGCCCGCGCCTTGGCTCTAAATTCAGCTGGATCAGCATGATCAAAACCAGGCACATTATGCATGTGATGAGTGCGAGCATTTCGGTAAACCCCAGAGTCAAAAACCAGGGCTGTGTGTAGTTGTCGAACGAGGCCTGTGGCTACGGCGAGGCCCGCCGGGCCACCGCCGATAATTAGAACATCGTATAATTTGTTTGCCATTGTGAGCAACTGCAGATAGCTATATTCTTACTCGTTTGGGAGTGCTTCAACTATTCTGTGCGTCAAGGACGCTCTTTATACTTGTGTAAGACATCACTCGGCAGCTTTTCGGACACTTTCCGAGTTATGAACCCCACAAAACGTCATCCCCGAGTTGAAGTGTCTTGGTCCTAGACGCAACCACTCAAGCACCCGAGACTTAGAATAATGATCCGAACCAGCCTATGGGATACCAAATGATTGTGTTAGAAGCGTCCACTGGCATGGATTAGCTAGATTTGAGTACATGTTTACAGGAGTTCGAGAAGCTCACACAAGCCGTTTTTGATTCATGTACAACGATGTGAGAGCCCCCAAACTCGGTCTGTGAGGTTGTACACGCTCATCTGCTATCTACTACAATCGATCTCAGCTACTGATCACGTTTGACAAAGACATTTCATTCTAATTGAACGATGTGAATCCGTTTGATAACTACGCGAGGCCCGTTAAGCACCACCCTTTACAACCTTGATAGACAGAATTCTAAAAGCCCTCTGGCTTTACTATGAGTACGCCATTTACGTCCACGCAGCGACCCTTGAAGTCGCATGTTGATGGGGCTGGAAAGGAGCCACATTGGTTCTGATCGGTATAAGCAGACTCCCAAAGTGTGGCCTTAAGACACCTTGGCTTGCCAGTCCTGGACTCGCCGAAACAAGGTCCTTCATCGTCTGTCTCGTCGGATGCGATCTGGTTCAGGGCATAGTACCCAAAGCCATCGCTCGATTGCAATGTATTGACTAATGACAGATCGGGTCAGTATTGTCTCTATTGGGATTGTGGAATAATATGAAAGAAAAAGAAACCATCACTAAACATCTCGAGAGCATGTTTTACTATTGTGTTGGGCTATCCGGCTCGAATACTAGAGACATGCTTGTGGATCGGGAAGGAAGCCATCAAGGTGCTTACTATATTCGATCTTGCCGCAGTCACCAGTCATCCGCACCCCCCATTTATTACCACTCAAGTCGCTCGCGCCGGACCATTTTATTGTTTTGTCGGTCTGCTTCTGATCATTGGTTCCCACAAGGTACAGAAGTAGCTGGCCATTATGAGAGAGTGTAATCTCATAGTAGGTTTTGAAATCAGGAACCGTGTTCCTCGAGGCACCGCAGTGTACCTGGACACAACCTGTTGCCTCAGTAGAGATGGGCTCCCCGTACTCGTCGTAAGTCACCGCGCGAGCAATCATGGCCTTGCCACCCAACGCGGTCGAGTCGTAGACCCTGGGCCATGGTATCGATCTGGAAAAGGTAAGAGCAGCATGAAGTGCAGCCAGAATGTAGAAAGAGAAGTTGGGCTGCATTGTTGTGTAGCTACTGATTGCTTTGATTTGAAGCAGCTGCGACTAGCTCTCTGCTGTTTATTGCCTCGTGGTTAAAATAATTGCGAAAGTCGAGGTGAGCAATGTATAGAGAAAGAAAGATTTTGAACAAATCAATACACTTCAAGTTCTTAAGTCGCCTGGACTGGGACGATATGTATTTTGTACTGGCAAGTGATCATAGTGCCAAGCGACTCCCGAAATGTATGGCAGCTTAGATTCTCATCTTCCGCCGCCCTCGAAGGGCCAATTTCCGCCATGACATAGGTGCAGCTATTTTTAAGTCACATAGTTCATAAGTTGGGGAGTTCCTGCATATATCAAAGCAACCAGGGCAAGTCATGACTTTGTGTTGCCCCTAGTCGATTAGGATCAGCCGCAGGAGGCGGCCGCCGCTTGTAGTGAACCCCTTGCTCGCCCAACAACAGTTGACCTAGAATAATAGTCAAGCGTCAAAGGATCCAATCACTACATCTCAGAGATCTTATCGAAAAGTCGTTTGGCTGCCCATGTTCAAATGAATCGAGAAAGACATCTGGTAGTGGCGGCGTTAGGCTATTGCCGCTAGAGGCCGCTTATCTATGCCTCCCTTCTCCGTACAGTGACAGGATAAACAATAATAGAAATTGGAAATTTCAAAGTCCCTGCCGAATGAGTAGACTGGAAACGCAGCTTACGCCAAGCAAAGCTGGGCATTGCTGAGGCCAAATGTTAAAAGATAAAAGCGACCCCTTTCCGCGTTCCTAGACCATACCTCGTTCAAAGAACGACATTTCTCGAAAAAGTCTTTTGTCTAAACTCCATACGCTCTTGATATTAGACGCAATCCTCATGGAGTCAATTCGCCAAGCACAAATTGATACCTCCTACCCGGGTGCCGCCACGACACGCGACTGGCAGTCGACCTCACAACTCGGCACAGAGAGTTGCTCAAAAGGCGGCTGCTCAAGCTGCAAACAAGGGTGGAGTGGTGACATACCGCATTCGCCTCAGTCTTCGAATTCTTTCCTTCCTCGTTTCGGCAGCCATGGTTGGGGTCCTAGGACAGTCTTTGTATGCTTATAAATGGACTGAAAAGAACCCTGACACCGAGAGACATTTTATTGCAATCCGTTTGTGGGCTGAGCAGTATACTATTCGACCAATGCATTTACTTCTTGGCGCTGCTTGTGTTTCAACACTTTTGAGTGGAATTCTATGTGTTGCAAGTGTGTCTAAGGCTGTAAGTACTAACATCGTATTTCTAACTAATTGATGCTGATAAAGGTTTCCATAGATTCGACGGTTAACAGACGTAGGGAACGGGTTCGCGCTTACAATTTCCTCTGTTTGTCTTGTATTATGGGTAGCAGCTGTTGTCTACTATGGAGTCAACCACTTGAAAGGGAGCCAGCAATTCTCCCCGTACGTCAAGGATGTGTGCAGTGCCCAGGGCAAGCAATGGCCCAGTATGCGAAAGCTGTGCCTCGGAATGAGGTTCGGCTTCTACGGAGGGATCTCGTTCGCAGCATTGGAGCTCCTGTCAATACTCGTGACAGTGTATGGTATTGTCATAACGAAGAGGGCTGGGAAGACCTACTTCAAGATCCGAGAGAAGTCTGGTGACGATGCAGCCCCCTTGATGACATGAATTAGTCTGTTTGGTAACGAGAGCAGCAACAGAATTTGGGTCATTAAGCTTGTCAATAAGACCAGGCGCCCGTCTTTGTCATGATAGGAGCAAGGACATCTGTCTAAAACTACTTCCTCTTCACTTCATCTTTACTGAACCGCAAAGCGCTCTGTCGTGATTACATATGTAACGGACCAAACTTTGAAATTGACTTTGACAGGGCCACATTCCACGGGCCACACTCCCAGTAAGCACGGCACACTTGTCCACATGGCCGGCTGTTCTGTCACATTTATGAGGCACCATTTCCGGGAAAAGAATGACCATTGACATTCGCGTTCAGATTTAGCCGACACGTGCTTCGCTCATTCTAACGCCGATCTGCAGGGAGGCAATACATTCGGCATTTGGGGAGTACCACTCTTCAGGGTAATTCTTATAGTTTAAGGGCACTATTGCATGAAGTCCTTGAAAAAGTCCAGTGGTTGGCTACTATTGCAGACAAGTTGCATTGTTTCAATAGCATACAGTTCTAAGCTACCTACATTCCCCCGCACCCTCAAATTGTATGCTCCGAGAAATTGCCAAAACGATCATATCGGATGGTTATTGCGACCTCAGTGTCTGGTCCGTGATATGCATAGCACAAGCTGCACTTTCCATTGGCTCCAGGGATGTCTAGGCATTCCATGCCGCCGACTTCATATGTGCATTCTGCAGCATTCATCAATGCCACGCGACGTCGGCAGTACAGCATCAGTACTTACGTCCCTCCGAGGCAGCTTCCCCGGATTTCTGGTAAATAGGGACAAGATTTCGCAGGACGAAACTCAACATGTTAATCAGAATATGATAAGATCTGAGCGAGCCCCCATATTTATGGGCATCTCTACACTTCCGACCTGTTGCAACACCAACGGACATGCTGGTGATTTTTCAAAGTCATATTCACCCATCTACCAAAGTCAAAGAGTAGAGAATGACCCACACGCAGAACGGGACAGATCCTGGGACGAGTGCAGACTCCACACTCCCATCAAATACAACAATATGGGGACCACTGCCGCTCGATGATCGGAGATCTCTCCAGCCAGATATCATCTCATGTGCAGTGGCCACCTGGATGATTGCGTCTTTCTTTGTAGCTCTTAGATTCTATGCCAGGGGCCGATTGATACATGTCCTGGGTCCTTCCGACTGGTGTATCATCCCATCTCTTGTATGTTTCGTTCATTCCATCGAGAATGCAATCTAGTCAACTAATCGGAGAATAGCTTTTCTCGGCTGGTGTGACAGCAAGTGCTATTGAGCGTTAGTTGGATAACTATGACGATATGAGAGTCAACTGACCTAACTTAGAAACTGTCCGTGGTGAGGGCAAGCACTCGTGGCAAATGGATCCTGCCCAGCTACTCCCTATGCAAAGGGCAGGCTGGTATGGGATACTGTTTTACTCATTGACACTGGCGTTCACGAAAATCTCCATTTTATTTTTGTATCGCCGTATCTTCACGACCTATTGGGCTCGCCGAGCAAATAGTTTGCTGCTCTGGATCGTTGTAATAATTGGTCTCTGGATTACTGCTTCTGTTGCAACAGCGTGTGTGCCCTTGGAGGCATTCTGGAATTGGAACCTCGCGATGACCACCAAAGTGTATTGCCATAGCTTGAATGTTTGGTGGACGAATTCGGCATTGAATATTGTCACAGACCTCGCCATCGTTCTTCTTCCCATGCCGGTTCTCACCAAACTGCAACTGCCGCGAAGGCAGAAATATGCCCTTGTTGGAGTGTTTGCTCTTGGCTTCTTGTCAGTTGATTAAAGAAAATGACCTAAGAGACTACTAGAAACTGACTGGAAGCAGTGTCTGTATTGTCTCAATCCTGCGGGTTGTTGAGCTCGTTCGAGTTGAATCGGACCCGGCAGTAGATGCAACCTATTCCGGCGCATACCTCACATACTGGACTACGGTGGAGATCAATGCAGCTATCTCATGTGCTTGTATCATGACTTTAAAGCCGCTCGTTGTTCATCACTTCCCACGCTTACTTACACCAGCCTCATACCTTCGACGATACACAAGAGGCGGCAACAGCCCCGGAGGAAGACCATCGACCGGAGCCTCTCATAGGCCAAGCCGGCTAGGTTTGCGATATGGAAGCTGGATTTCATTACACGGAAGAAAGGCCTTAGCCCGACTACCATCGCTCGAGGATGAGAAAGCAGGAGGACATCACGGGGTCAGGCTAGTCGACCTCGAAGCTCAGAGGAGTGACAGCGTCTCCACGGCCCCGAAAGAAGAGGACAAGTCGCCCACTGGAACGAGCCTAAAGTCGCCGCCAGCAGCCCACCTGCGATTATCTATACAAGTGACGAAGTCTATAATGGTCACTTCCGAACGTCTCGGGAGCCCGTCATCCTCTAAAAGATGGTTTTCTCCTGGGGATAACAGCGTTGGTCACGGTACGCAAAGTCAAAGAAATGACGGATCTGTATCTGATAGAAGCCCTGTTGGGACTTGGAGCTCAGAGGAGAGGATCAGACATGCTGAATAGTCAAAGGGGCCACAAGCTAGCGTTCGGCCAATTCCAAGGTCTTTGGAGCTAATTGCCGACGAGAGAGATAATTAAACTATTCGATGATGATAGCAGCATCGAAGTATCTATACCAAAGCCAGTTCGACTCGAAGTTGATGGCCAAATTTTTGTGTGTTGCTTTATTAGGATGTTGTGCCGCCTTCAGAGCACTTCGCTTACAATTGAGATCCCCAGTTTGGAGCGGTTTCGTGTAGGGCGCTAAGTGGATGTGGCCAGTTACTCCTGGTGTCTCAGCGCCCTGAAACACAGAAATGAAACTAAAGCGAGGATGCCACACGCAACCCGGTCATTTGCACGAACTTTGAAAATCACAACACTGGAAATCTTCGGACTGCTACTGCTGAGATCAAGAGCATTCGTTCATCAAGTCTAGCGAGTATAGATGACGAGCTCGCGGGAAAGAGAATTGAAGATGGGTTGCTCGCCAAGAGAAGATTCTCACTTGATGGTTCTTGGCGTCATGGGTCATATCCGGGGTGCTCAAGATGTGGATTCGCGTGCCCTGGGCTTTGTCTCAGCATCCCTGTAGTGCAGTCTGCAGGCCCATTGCGCGACAAATAGCGAGCCACCGACGGCAGGTCAATGAGAGTATCAACGGGGGGATGAAAAAAGTCCAGACGACAATGCGCTTGATAGCTGTCTGGGTAGTTTTTGCCGGGCGTTTCTTTTAAGAGCTCAATAAAACCAATGAACCTCCAACCCAAGCAATCTTATTGATTCAAAGTGCTAAACAAGTTCAAATATTTCATTAATCGAGCATCGACATTAGACTATTGTTTGGATACACTAAAATGGAGTCTAAACAGCCTACATACGAGAACGTATCGCTTTCCGATGATCACGAAGAAATGATGTCAAACACCGAAGTTGATGAGTCCTTGATGGGGGACGAGAAGGAATGGCAGACAACAGGCATGCGCAGGCGGTCGAGGAGGAAAGCTATCTCATCCGTCCTTGACAAATATCGGTGGCACCTCGATGGCTTCCTATTGTTCGTTATTGCGGCACTGGCAGCAGTACTTCTGCTGCAGGCTCGGCGGAGAGCAGACCCATCGAGTCGGTGGCAAGTCGGTGGTGACTATACGGGAAATGGACCGAAATGTTTGTTGAAAACCCAAGTTTCCCCTGGCAGAGCACAGGCAGCTAACACAAAAAAGTCGACACCAAGGTCGTAAAGTGGGAGGCTAACATGGCATTTTCCCCTTTGAACTCGTCCGAGTTCTTCGAAGACAAGACACTGGCTCTGTGGAAAACCTTGATGCCCGGTATGTTGGATGCTCTACCTCTTCTTGAGGCTCAGCTAACGAAACGCAAGCGGGTACCGGGTACGGTTACAAAGGACAGACATTCTTTACGACGTCTATGACACATCAATTACACTGCCTCGTGAGTACCACATAGCGGAACTTTAGATATTGTCACTAATTTGTGGAAGTATATGATGGCACGAATATTCTCCGGCGTGGAGGCAAATATGACCGCTGTTCTACCGGGCGATTACCACTTTCATTTCAACCACTGCGTTGATTATCTGCGACAGGCTGTCATGTGCTCAGCGGATCTGTCAATGGAACCCCACGAGCCGTCCGATTCAGATGAGCTGGGCCCGCTGGATGGTGGTTGGAACGGTCATCATGGTAAGTCACAGCTACCTCAACTTCTGATACCACTTGACATCTTTTCAAGCACTGATAAATGATTAGTCTGCAAAGATTACGGCCAAGTCATAAATTACCTAGAACGTCAGATTGTAGATGGGGTGCGGGTCGTGCTAGATATCGATGATTAAGGAAGCCTTGCTTCTGTAGAGCCCACTTATCTAATCATACACTTAACACTTTTTCTACGTGAGATTTCAGTCAATATGGTCTGACTTGCGAACTCCATTATGTAGAGGAGTTTTGCTGTCGGTGAGGCTTGCGCAAATGGACTATCGTGCACTACAACGGCCTAGCTCTAGGGGTTTAGCCGGCACCGTGTCCGCTGATATGTTCTAGACTTCTAACTATATCGCTTACTAGATTCGGCAATTCCTGGCGCTAATCCCGACTCGCCTAAAGATTCAATAGTTCACTGCGGAATTGCCATGAAGAATTGCAGGATAAGAAATATCGGTTGAATATGTGTCCAATGCAGGTTAGGTACTCCACGTGTGCTCTAGCACGTTTTGGTCTTGGCTGAATCATAGCTAGGGTTGGCCTACCTCGATTGTCAACCAATCTGCTGCGTGACCAAACCATTGATTTGCTCAGCTAGTGAAGACTAGTTATTCATTTCGTCGGTAGCTATTAAGCTTATAATGCGAGATATCCATAGTCTCAATAGCCAAGCAGGGATTTTAGCTCCACTGCCAAGTGGACTCCTAGGCCCTGCGGCGATTTGTAGCCATATATAAATGTACTGCCGTCAATTGTTGCGTCCTAGGTGTGGGTCGTCAGGTTGGGATCAACGGGCTGTATACACGATGAGAAGAGGCATTGCAGCTGGGCTTGTAGCCATCTGTGGGGCTCACCTTGCCTCGGCAGCAGCTCTTGTTGAGCGAGCTTGTGCCGGTAACAACATCAACAGACTGTTCAAGTCGGAAAAGAACTTGCCAGATGCTGTAGTATTTTGTAGTGCTTACCTTAATATCCCGGCTCTAACCGTGTCTTCATCTGTCACACCTGCAGTGTAAGTCACTTGTTGTCCTGGCTACACCATAGATTCTCACACGGCTCTATCACAGAAAGACTGTCTGGCAAACAAGCACGTCGACCACATTAACAACCTTGACCGAACATGCCATAATCACAACAACATCCATCTCTCCAGTCTTTACGCAGAACTTCCAGGGCCAGCAGAAAAGAGACATTTCCACTCCAGCCTTCTTGTCCGACAAGACATATTCACCCTCTCAGATCTCAAGTGCCTGCGGATGCATTACGATCGAACAGGCTGTCACTACCCAATACATCACTCTGCCAACAATCACACAGTCGGCGACAACAGTCGTACAGGCTGTTTCAACTGCTACAGAAATCGAGACATCCACCGCTATCATTGCCGTACCGACAACGATCAGCGCACCGTATGTGATCGCTGTGAGCGATTATGAGACCGGTGTCTCGTACGGATACCTAACTCAGTCTTGGCAGACTTGGCCAGGTGACAAGCAGTATGCTTGGAAATTTGACTATAACGTCACGGAGAAGGCTTTGCGCTATTGGAGCTCAGGTTACTACTGCTCAATCAGATATGACAGTGGTAGTTTCTTGCAAACGGCAGACTGGTGGTTTGCACTTACCAACAACAAGCCAGTGCAGTTCGACGTCAACGGCACTACTGGAGTTTTAAGCTATCAAGGCAGCGACAAGTTCATATGTGGGGGACCTTCAGGACAGATGACTGTTGTTGAATCTTCGGAGTGGGCTTCACCCCAGGTCCCTTGTCGCATTGCATTTGCAAACCTTTAGATGTTCTAGAGAGTACTTGCAAATAGACACACACGAACAATCAAACACTGTGTTGATACGCAAAGGCGCCGTGGTCATTCATGTCATGCGCTAGATACTTGCTATGATCAGATTGATATCTGAGTTATGCTAAGGTTCAGTCTCATCAATGACACAGCATGACATAGGCAATCTATAATCTTATTCTGCGGAAGAATTATGAACGGCCATAAGGAGTTTTGTTCTTCCATGAGTTCCATCGACGACTCCGCATCTCCAAAGATGCCTGAAGTCTTTCCTCTGCGCTTCGGAGCGCAGTGTTTTGTTTCCAATCTGTGTGACCATGAAGATTCTGCACTGCAGCCCGGGCAATGTATAAGTAGATCGGGGGCAATGATTCTATGACTCGAGGGGTTATGGTATCGTGGGAATCGGCTATGTCAACAACCATCTGTGTAACCGTTTCGAGTGCTGCGCGGGAGCTTCCATGCCACTCATCCAATGATTTGAACTTGGCGGTAACTTTTCCATGTATCTGACTGAGGATATGACTGTGTAATATGAATAGCGCACTGATCGGGTCTATTAGACAGGCCATACCGATGCTGGAGAGCGCTTCATAGAATGCCAATTATGGGCGAATAATGTACTGACCGTATAGCGAGAGCGATCGCACCACAGAAAAACCCCCCCATGACTTCGTGACACTGCTGCATGACTACAGCCAAGAACTTTTGAAGAGCAGCATCAAGTGCGTCTAATTTGACCAACCGAGAGTCGACGCTTTTTGTTGAAAGAGCCTTGAGTACTTCGTCTAGAAGGAATGCTGCTTGTGCCACGCGCCCAAAGCCTCCAATCTTGGGAGAAGTGAGGCACGAGACTGTGAGGTCAGGTAATGTGTCATATAATACACCTTCTTCTTGAGTTAGGTCCTCAAGTTCGAACGGAAGTCGGGCCTCTTTGTCGGAAATGACGGTCACCAATGGTTGCTCAGAACAAATGACATCGCAGAAGAAGGTTCTGTTGCACAGATTTGCATTAGCATGGCCATCGTGCAAATTTGTCCTTGGATTTTTCAACGTTAGATTTATCATGGTAATTGTCAAGGACGTACCTCTCCCAGATAATCATACCCCACCATGTATTTATCGCTTCTCTGTTCTTCAGCGCCAAGCCTGAACCTTTTCTGGAACCAATTTTCACGGACTTGTTTGATGTTGACGGTTTGTGGCAATGACGCTGCATGCCGAGTCTGTAGGCCATGCGAGCACAGCATGCCATAAATGCAAAAGCGTCGTCCGGATGGCCCTGTGCATACTCGTAGATGGCTAACCAAACGCCGGCCTGCACGAGATGTAAGGATGGTGGGAAAGCCACCTGTACCTGGGAAAATAACGATCGCGCGGTAAGGTGCAAAGACTGTTGATCGACAGACAGTGTAGTAGTTGGATATGTACTCTGCTGAGCAGATTCGTGAGGCAAAGTTATAAGACAGATGCGGAGTAACAAGAGTGAGAAGTCGGCCGCCGGGGCAGCTCCAAGCGTGATAAGTTTATTGCAAAAGCTTGTGCGAGATATAATAGGTAAGTGATGATGGAATCCCTGGAAATATCGGGCGCTGATATCATCAACGAATTGCCCAGTACTACGGATGAGACCATGAACTTGGAGGTATAGGCTGGACTCCAAGGATGATGGCTCTAGTGGTATCGTGCTTGAGAAAGCTACCGGGGAGATGAGACTCGTATGTAGAGATGCTCCGTGACTAGAACCATGTCGGGCATTTTTGGTAGATCCGACGCGAGATACGGGTGGCTGGGTACCATATGCGCAATTTAATCCCTTTCTATCCGGTCCATGAATGGAACGCTCCTGTACTATCCAGGTGGTTCTATGGGACTTACCGAAAACAGTACCCACAACGGGGCAGCACCTTGTCACATTTCTTCTTGCGAGACTTGCACATGATGCATACTTGGGCAGCATGAGAATGGCTGCGGTTGATCGTCGGCATCACGGAAGGCGGCGTGGAGCGTGGCTCGGGTAACTGCCTGCGTCATTAAAGAGTTTGATGTAAGCCAGAACAAGGCGAAGAGATCGTTCGGGAACAACGAAGAAAGACGATGGCTGCAATGCCATGCGAGATTAAGGTGAGTCTCGAAAATTGGGGATTTGCCCCCAGATTCAAAGTGACAAAGCGTCAATCCTAAGATGTCAAGATGTCAACTTGACAAATCAACTTCCGAACGTTGGGCGATTCGTCGGCCGACAGCGCTGGAGTTGGCTCTTCGCTCTGTCGGCCGCCACTAAGCCGCATTTGACCTAGTACGCCAGCCCGGTTGAGCTGCGACCAATGGGATGTTAGAGGGTACCCCTTTCGAGGCGGGGACAACACGATCATCGTTGAAGCGCTTGATATATCTGATGTGAGGTGTCCAAATGATTTAGTAAAAGAAATATCGGGGTTGGCATACCGTCACGCATGCATATCAAAGATTGAATTACGAAACGTAGATCCAGAGCATGGGCGCTCAGCCAATCCACCTGGATGATAGCAAAGTGGCTCTTGATTACAAACCTTGCTAGGACAATAAATAGATGATGGTCTTGTCTGCTCAAACTCTTTTGAACCTACAATATCCGGTAGAATTAGGCACCTGCCAAACGAAGTTTTCAAAAAGAGGACACTATCGTCCGGAAGGATAACACCCGGCCTAGTGAGCTGTTCATACCATACCATACCAGTAAATCTAAAGGTCGTGTCTTTAATTCATCAGCTACATCTTACAATTCCTTCTCCATGGCTAAGATATCGAAAGCTAAAGATAGCCAAAAGGTGACAGATGACACACTGGCTCGTTCTGCAACGGAAGAAATGGAAGAAAGAGGGAACAACATCGACCAGCCTAAGTTGCCTCCCGAAGAAGGCGTTCAGGGTTGGCTCTGTGTTATCGGCGCTTTCATCTGCCTCTTCTGCAGCTTCGGGTTTTTGAATGCGTGCGTCGCCACATTCCAAGTTTTACATATTCAATGCTAATTGCGAGCAATATAGCATTGGTGTATTCCAGACCACATATCAACAGACCTCCCTCAAGAACTACTCACCGTCCGAAATTGCGTGGATTTTCGCGGTCCAGCTGGCTCTGATGTGGGCTCCAGGGCCACTCTTTGGACGACTCATCGATACCTACGGTCCAGGACCTGTGCTCTATCCATGTGCTTTCATGTGTGTCTTCTCTTTATGTATGACAAGCCTCGCCGACCAATACTACCAAATATTCCTAGCACAGGGCTTTGGATTTGGAATTGGTGCCGGGGGTGTGTTTACGGCGGCTATTGTTTGCGTCGGTCAATGGTT